TTCACCTAAATATTTAGGCTAACTTCTTTCTAGAATCCTTGCTCCTGGTTTCAGTGAAGTGTTTCAGTTTTCAAGCACAGAAATCAATAGAAAGTTAGCAGCCCTCATGGGATTTAGGAGTCTCAGCATCATCTGCTTGGATGCGCTTCAGCTGTCCCATTGCTTCTTCCATTTAGATTAATGATTAATGCCTATTGATTCCAATGAGGTAAGATCTACTGAAGTGTTCCTGTGTGATTGTGAACAAGCCACAGAAATAAACTTTTTTACTGGCATGAGTAATTTCTGGTCAGTCTCAGGCAGCTCTCTTCTGGGAATAGTACATGAAGTGTTACAGAAGTGTACCATGACCCCAGTTGAGCAGTAGGAAATAACATGCTCTATGGTTTGACTTCAATTTTTGTTTATCATCTTTCGTATGGAGATTTGTCACTAAGGCTTCTGAGACAATTAAAAAACTGCACTTACGAACATTGTGGAAGTGGATTATTTTTTAGAATCTAAATGGTAAGCGGCGAGAAGAGTATTGGAAATGTGCATTAAATTATATTGGGGGAAAGAAATATTGCCCATCCAGCAATTCTGTAATCATCATCCATCCTTGCAAGATCTTTATTAAACTTGTTCTCTCTTGACAATTTCAACAGCCCAGATGACTTCCCAGTGCTCTGATCCCCACTATCAACTTTCAACTAATGCAGAAGAGTACATTGCCTTTTTCATGTGATACTTTCCGGTGCAAACCTTCTAGTGTCTTCATCTTGATGCCTTTATAAATCCCTCTTCTGGATACTGTTTTGCTAATTTGTGTGGTCAAGATATACTAATCAGTCACCACAAGTTTAAGATCCCACGATTAATCCTTCTTTGGCAAGACGCTGTGAGCTTACTTCATATCCATTGACTTTAATCTTGAGCAACAATTTTCCCAGCACTCTTCTTGCAGCTTACTCAGTTTGGACAGGTGACCCAAAACAGATGAGATAAAACTGGCTATGTAGCTTCCATGACTAAACGTGCCAGAGATTAAAACTGACTATATAGTATAGTTAGTATACTCAATAAGATATATTACCATCAGTGGTTTAGATTTCAAGAGTCCATTTACTAGGGAGTAATTTGTTTTCATTAGTAGTGTTTAAATGACCGTGGGCTTATATAGCTGGAGTACCAGTTCCACAGTGGCTTGTTTCTGTCACATAAGCTTCCTTTCCTATAGAAATACCAGAATTCCAATATGCAGGAGGCCACCAGAGTGTAGTGTGTGATGGTGTTCCCTGATTGGTACCTTCTGTTTCAGAGGAGGAAAGGTAGGCGTGGGACAGCCTGCATCCAGGGAGTACCCTCCTTTGACTGCCCGTATTAAAGATTAGTTGTTACTCAAACTTGAGAGCTTACACTTTGTGCAAAGTTCTTGGAAATGTTTGTTGTTACTTTTCCTGTGCAGAGCTTACTATCAGAGCTGGCTGGTCTTCTCACTGTAACTCTATGTTTTGAAGACACCAGGTCTGTGCTATATCTCTTAGAAATGTGCATCTTGTTTTGTACAGAGTTTTTGTTCATTTTTTTTGGTTTTCTTTAAAAGTGTATTCATGCAATTTTGTATAGGTTCTTTTAGTGTTACTCTTCCCTATTTGAAATAATGCCATGTCCTCCATATGGGTTTCTTCTTTTCACTTTTAAAAGCTGGGTTGGGTGATATTCACAAATTAAATTGATATCTGTCTTATCCTAAAGGGAAACTGGAGTTTTATCACTAAAGAAAGTTACCTATGTATCATAGAATCATAGAATGGCCTAGGCTGGAAGGGACCTTAGAGATCATTTTTAATCCAGCCTCTCTGTTGCCAGGGACGCCACCTCTCGACTAGATCAGGCAACACACGGGGACCAAACGGGAGTTGAACCTGCGACCTTGGTGTTGTTAGCACCAGGCTCAACTGACTGAGCTAACCAGCCCCCTCATCAAGAAGACTTTAAAACAGTGTGTGTGAAGTGTGTAAATAAGTTTGAACTGAGAGCTTAGTACTGAAGTAGAATAGGCTTCTCAATTTGTTAATAGACTAAGATAATTTAAATGCTCCTCCCTAAATACAGATTGAGAGCTTTGGGATAGAGGTAAAATTCAGTTTAGGAAAGATGAGAAGACTAGTAGCAACGTGAGTAAGGCAGAGACCACAGGAATGCATTCCACACTTGGAATTCTATTTTATAGAAAATCTATTCTACTTTAACTATTCACTTTTAAATGGGAGAGTTTAGCTTTTCACTAATCATAAAAATGATGAATTTGGACAGTATTGACCATTGTACTTTTGAAATGTGATGATGTCGTGAAATGTGTTCTGTGCAGAGTCTTCATCACGTATTTACAAAGTGTTTTACCTTTTTCCCAGAGAAGCAGACAGGGTTGTGTTTTGGTCAGGTGGGGGAAAACTGGTGGTGGGAAAAGCAGTCAGGCCAAAGCTGCTACCTACTGCCAGATAAGTCGAAAATGCTCTTTTTGCTTAATGTAGCTTCCAGTAAACTTTGTCCTAAAAAGTGGAGGAAAGAATGAGAGCTGGCAGTGAGTTGGTAAGCGCTGTTCATATTCTCTCCTCTTAGCGCTTGCTGATGCTCTCTTGGCAGTGTTGAGCTTTGTCCAGCCTGGCATCTCTAGCTGGTGCTCTTTCATTTCTAGTCATGGAAGGTAGAAAGCCTTTCCGTGATTCAAGGGGAAAACCACCTGCGGTCTGCTGTCCTGCATTCACAACTTGTCCCCGATGCAGTTTAGTGGGCAGGTTCCGTGAGCAGCAGGTGTGTGGTGCAGCGGGTACCGGTCGGTGCCTGAGAGTGAGGGTATGTGCATCCAGTACGAGCCACCAGCACTCTCTGAGCGCTGCTACTGCATCTGCAAAGTTATTGAATTAAAGCAGTGTTGCTTTAAGCAGTCACCTCCTGAAACATATTCCTTGAGAGAAATTGTTCAAGGAAAAATTAGTCTTGACTGTGAAATAACCTGGCAGGAGACCATTTGAGCAGTAACAGTGACCGCAGTGTAATTGCATTCCATATCCTCAAGTAGGAAAGATACTGAAAACTACAACAGAATTATACAAAGTTGAAAGGAGATTTGAAGAGAGTTACAGTATTTTTACTTTTTCTGACAAAGTATGTAAGCCCTTAGAGATTATTAATGGAAGTCGTAAATAGATAAGAATAAAATTAGAATCAGGGCTATAAAAATAGAATAACAAAAGTCAAAGATTGCTTTTCCCATAAGAATTATATTACCAGTGAGAACAGCAACAGATGACAGCATGTGGTGAGAGAAAGAGGTATTAATGCCGTTGAGGTGGATTTCTAAGAATAGCTGTCCACTAGTCAATAATCTGAGACATACTGTGAAACTCTTTCACTTACTCAGAACAGAACTTTCAGTATTGGGGGAAGCACTGAAATATAGCTGCATTTATAGATAATTTGAAAGCTGATATACAGGTCTTCAGCTGTAGTTATCTCTTGGATTTCTTCTTTTATATTTATATATTGCATTACTAATTCTTTATTAATAACATGGAAATTACCACGCGCAAACTTTGATCGCCGGTTTTACCACTGAGGTTCAGAGTGTTGCCTAGTATGAAATAGACAGCAAGTAGGTATCATTTCTTGAAGAAACAAAACCAATTCAAGAAATCCCTCTTTAAGTTGTGTTTTAAAACAGTACCTCTAGTAAGATATAGAGAATTGATATGCAGTAACTGTACTTGCATATTTTGAAATGTGTATGTTTCTAATACTTCTATTTCAAGGAATAAAATATCAGAATTAAAACATTCTCATAGTATTTAGGATATTTAAGTTATCTTTATTTATGTTTTTAAAGGACCTATTACTATTAGCTGTTAAGCTGCTTCTCTTATGGTTTGAATTTTTGGAGCCATGCAGTGGATCATTAATCCAATTTAACTTTTTGCAAAGGCAGGAAGACTTACTCTTTGTAATGTAAATGAGTTTGAAATGGATTTTGTAGCTCTTCAGTCTGCTTAAATTTTCTGCATTTCCTCCATTAACAAAAGAAGATTGTGAAGTGGCAAAAATATTGTGAGTTAGCAAAAGCAAAAAATCTCTGTTGACTTATATGATTGGATATTTAGACAGTTTCTAGAGGCAATAGTGTATGAAAATACTTTATTCATATACAGTGACTGATTTGAGGATAAAGTCACAAGAATTTTCATTTATTGCTATTGTGTTGGTGTATTTTCAATTCTGGTAGCTTTGTTGAACGTACAATGAGAAGTTAATCCCATCAACGTCGCTGTCCAGGTAACTGGGGGAATGGCATAATCCAAATGAAGGAATAACGGAGATGTGGTTGCCACCTTCGGTCCTGAGCCGGCTCACGTCTTGACTGAGCCCTGTGGAGCCTTTGGAAACGCTGACAGTAGCACCACGTGACACAATCGTGCTGGCTCTGGTCTGCAGGGGCTGTGGCTCCATCCACGCAGTGTTGTGCCTAAGTCAAAAAGCAATCCTTGTCCTGAGCTAAGCGGTTTGGAATCTACTCCTGTGTCTCCACACAGAGATCAAAACTGGAGGATTAATGGTAGTGGCCATCGAACGGAAAGGTGGTCTTCATTTTATTTTGCACACCAAATTAACAATACTTGGCAACTGCAAACATGGTGCGAGTCATACATTGCTGTCACTTCCATATCACACTTGCAAAGAGTAGAAAGATGGAAAATTTTACCAACTCCTTGGAAAACTTTATTGACTCCTAGTGTGATAGCATTTTACAGACCAGATTTTTTTCACTCACTTCTTCAAGAGGCAGTGTCACTTCTTCAAGAGGCAATCTCATTTGGTGTGTTGCTGTTGTTATTGTATTGTATATTCTTCCATATGTATTACTGAGCTGTAAGTTTAGCTGTCAAAGAGCATAACAAGAAATGGGTTGTGTTAATTTCTTTTGTTCCTTCATTGATTTCTTTTGTTCCTTCATTACTTTACAGGTACTGTAAGAATTGAAATGTTCAGGAACATGCAAAATGCAGAAATCATAAGGAAAATGACAGAAGAATTTGATGAGGTATAGTATACAAGTAGGCCTTTAAATATTATGAAATATATTACAATATACTTTTGTTTTAAACTACAAATGCAGTTAGCAAGAAACCAGCGGATAAGCAGTGTCTCGGCATGAGAAATTGCATTGACGATGCAATGTATTGCGTGTGGAATAACAAGTCAACATCAGCTTTAGGAAAGAAGAATAATGGAAAACCACAAAGTAGTAAAATAATTGGGAACTGTAGTTATAGTTGGTCGTCTTGAAAAGTCAGTGTTATGGCTTAAGTAGGCCCTGGGTGCTGAAATACTGGTACTGAAATCAGCCAGTGAATCAGCCAGTTGAAGGGCATGTGTGCATTAATCCTGCAAAAGCGTGGAGCAAGCTTGTATCTGGTGGCATGAGCGAGCCTGGCCAGGTCTGACTCTGCAAGAACTAGATTGGGTCCTTGTTAGCCTTGATCTGGATCTGTGTAGACCCTCATAAGTCTTTGCATGGCTTTAGGCATGTCCTTGTCTGCATCCTGGGTATTAAAGAGGTTAATAACAGCGCAAGTCTGTAGTAAGTAATGCAAGAATGGGAACCAGGAGGAGACCGACAGTGCTGACTGGGCCCCGTGGCCATGTGTCATCTCAGCAAGGCGCCACCATTTCCTGCACAGCTGAGGAGCAGCCTTTGATTCTTCTTTCTGAACAGCATTATTGGCCTTGCACCTGCAGTACCTCTTCCTGTACCCCAGGATTTCCAATGTCTGTCCCCTCTGTGTTATCCTGAGACATTGCAGTTGTGTGGGGCTGTGACCACCCGAACGTTTCCCGTGTGCTCCTGTCCTCTCATGCACCTAAATCCAGCGTCGGTCCACAAGAAAGTAAACATCTGACTCTGTGGGAGTGAAGGAAAAGGAAAGAAATAGGCTCTTGTCAAAATAATTAGCCACCAGCCCAACCAACATTCATTGTCATCTTTAGACTTGCCATTTTCATTTCTGCTAGGCTGGAGTTAATACGGAAATGAAAATACAAGACTAGTATTGAATAGGATAAAATCTTGCATTATCTGTCCGTTAGCACAGTGTACTCCCCAGAAAATACCTTAATATTTGTTGAAGATGATCAGATTTTCTGCTTTGTTCACATTTTCGGGATCATCGCATTGTTCTGTCAGTGCTGCAGTAATCAACTGGCTACTCGTCCTAATTTCTGCATTTGTGGCAGGGATTGAAGCGTTGATTTTCCTAATCTTGAGTGGAGGAACACTTGTGCAGGACTTAAATGATGGAAATAACTTTGTTCATTGCTGCCACAGGTTCAGTATGAATCAGGGAATACCATGGACATCCATCTGCTGCACTATTTGGGTGCTTGGCTTATGAGTACAGGCATTTCGTAGATTAATTCCCTCATAATTCTTGTGCTAGTGTAAGCAGGTGAATAAAAACTTATTTTGATTTGAGTTTTCAAACCACTGGACTGTGAAGTATGACATGTCAGTGTCACTGGTTTGTCACATTTTTATTGGTGTTGAGGAATAAAAGATCCAATAAAGTGGCTTTATTAGAACTTTATTCTTCCCGTTTCAGCCAGATAAGATGTTCTCAGTGCAGCCTTCACAGGCTTTTTGGAAGGGCTGTCTAATGTGCCATCGTAGGTTAAAAATACAAAAAAGACGTTCTGAGGATCTGTTCCCAAAATTACATATATGTACCTATGGAAAGCATGTATTATGTATGTAAATTTACATGCAGAGTTCCCACAGGTGGGCAGACAGGGAGTTAGTCTGGAGGTTATTTGTGGAAATAAGGTGTAAGTAGGGAGGCGAAAAGGGAGCCTGATGTGCGATGTGGAGTTACTGTCAGGAAGATATGGAGGATAAAGAGATAAAGCTTCAGCGTTGTGATTTCAGTCCTAAATGTAAATAAATGTGACCAGGGCAGGGCTCGTATTTACATGGCAAGGCTCTGTACCTTGCTGAAATTTACTGATGAGAGCATCAGGCATAAACCAAGAACACTTCGAAACACAGGGCACAGCTGATGATAATATTACATATTTTAGACCGTGATTTTATCTGGATTTCTACTACAAAATGCTTTGATCCAAATCACAGAAGTTGTGAGGACACTTCATGTGCTAGGAGATGTCTTTATGTCAGGAGCTTTACAACCCTCTGAACTGGTGTATGTGTGGGGTTTATTTTTTAAACCAAAGCTCCTCTTTGCCGCAGATTGGGCATTCAAAGTTAGAAGTACAAATATTGCTCCTTCAGATCATAGCATTCAGCATTGTAATGAAAGAGACAGTAAGGTCATTAAAAGTGCTGCACAGTTCTGTCTTTTTCTAATACTTGAGCACTCATATGTGCTATTTTAATTGTTATTTTAATGATATTGAAATGTGTGTGATTTCATTAAATTTGATAGGTTTTTTACTGCAGGGGAATATTGTTTATAAAGTCTAGGTAAAAGGTTATTTGATTAAAGTCCTCCATGCTTATGTTTCTGACTTTAAATGGTTCAGTCTGGGCAATAAAACAAGTCCTGAGAGAAAAAAAGTGCTCATTCTTCACAAAAACACAGAATAAATATGTACAAATGGATTTAACTTTGATACAACTGACTTGTTACCTTTGGGGAGAGAGTCAGGATGGAGCTTTATTGCCTTGACATTTTGGATAATCTGGAATTGGCTTATAAAGCAGGTGACCAGGGAGATTAAATATAGTCGTTTTCACTGAAGGGATAAAAAGCATTTTCTAATTGTGGGGGGACAATCTCACTGAAATGCTTGAAGTGAGAGTAGTAAGAGCAGATGTGGAGAAAAGTTAAACGTAAATGAACTGTGTGTTCACATGTCTACTCCAGTCTTGCAGTAATCTTTGGAAGATGTAGGGTATAAAGCCCTGTGGGGTATATGAATCTGTAGTAAAATTTCCGTTATTTTTATCAGAAGGCAGGCTTTACCGTTAGAAAAAGGGTAGCTTTATAAGGTTTTTAAAAAGGGGAGTATTTACTTTCTGGTGAGATCTCAATTGTAAATTTGAGTAAAGCAAAGTTTGTTGGGAGGGACATTGAATTCATAGAGTGGTGTCATGGAGTTGAAGCGGGGATGGAGCATGACACAAACCCTTCTTTAGGTTTTGACATTAGATACTTTGAAATACTCCTTACTGATCCTTTCCTCACACTTCCTAACCCAGGATGCAAGAAAAATAAGTTATTCTCCGTACGTTTTTTGGACAGAGTTAGTATTGCAAACCTATGGCAGTTATAATGAAGTCTTTGAAAAAGCGTTTTCCTGCCAACAGGCTTCTTTGGTTATTGAAAAACAACGCGTTCCTTTGGTTATTCTCTGTTGGCTTGAATCACTAAGAGAGTGTGTAGCTTAAAAACTTAGACCATGATGGCTACAACAAAATAAAATTAAATTAAATAGGAAGACCTTTTATACTTAATATTTTCATTTTCTTATTTTTTAGGACAGCGGTGATTATCCACTTACCATGCCTGGGCCACAGTGGAAGAAGTTTCGATCCAACTTCTGTGAGTTCATTGGAGTGCTCATTCGACAGTGTCAGTACAGCATCATTTATGATGAATACATGATGGACACGGTGATCTCTCTTCTGACTGGTTTGTCAGACTCCCAGGTCCGGGCTTTCAGGCACACCAGTACATTAGCTGGTAAGTGCAGAGAAGACTTTTTTGTTGTTGTTTTGGTTTTTTTGCAGGAGTTGCTACTATGTAGCCACTTTGGGAGTTATTTCTAATTTAGATTGAGGTGGAATTTGACTAGCACTGAGAAGTCTGTAAAGTTTGATCAAATGAAAATACCATATATATGGTATAACTTTACTTATAATACACTTTTTTGTTTGGAAAGGAGTATGCTGAGGCATTTAATCTGAGACTCCTGTCATACCCAGGATCCTCCAGTGAATCCTGCGAGTCAAAAGCATCATGCTTGTGTCTTGTATTTTGTCACAAGTTTTTCATTTGTTTTGTAAAATTTTTTCATAAATTTTTATTTCATAGTACAAATTTATTCTAGATAAGTGTCAAGAAAATTGAATTCTCAAAGAATTTCAGTCCACTAAGAAATAAAATCTTCACTCTTGAGCAACATTAGGTTTGGGAGCGCTGGGCCATAGCTGTAGGTCTCACTGTCATCTACCTCCAGCCATGCTGCGCCTCTCAACACACCTGCCTACACCTAAGGAAAGCACTGGGTGCATCATTAGATGTAAGTAGGCTTTTCTAGAGTGTGTTTCGTGAGGCCTGTATGGGATGTCACCCCTAAGATGGATGAATTGCTCTGTAGAAGTAACTGTTTTTCTCCAATTACAAAGCAGGACTAGGGTGGCTAGCTTGGATGAAGGTGTCGAAAGCTGGTTATGTCAGCTGATACCTTCCTGCTCATCTCGTGCCCTGAAATACGTCTTGTAGAAAGATTCTTCTGTCTAGGCTATTCGTAGATCATGCCAAATATTTGAAGCCTTTGTAGGAGACATTTGTCATAATCTGAATATCTTTACTGCCAGTATTTGTTACTGATTTAGTCTTTCCACAATCAACTTCTTATACTTGGAAACTGGAACAAAATTGTAATACCCAATGTCCCAACAAATGCAGTCAGAATTTGTTTTAAATTCCCTCTCTTGCTATAAATCTAAGTAAGAGGCATATTTCCAATGATATTGAAAAAACAGCTCCAAATTTAACTGGAGTTTAATTTTAAAATTGAAAACCCAAACCTTCAACTCGCAGTGCCTGAAGTCTTTTGGAAAACTGTTCCCTTGCATTCTTCGCCTTACTCAGCAGCAGGATGGTAAAACCACAAATTATGCAGGCTTACGTTTCCAGGTTTGTCTCCACATATTCAATATTCAAAGGGGAACACTACTGGAACTCTGGGCCTGTTGTTTAAACCAAGATGGAAGCTGTATTCCTTTCCAGCTGATCCTGACTAGCTTCAATTCCAGGTGATTTTGATTTGCTCTTTGCTTAGATTGTGGCTGATGGTTTCATAGGAGAGCGATGACGGAGTGAGATATGCACTCCGGTCTGCTCTTGATCGGTTCATCCTTGTGTGGGACAGATGTTTGGAAAGCATGAGAGGCTTGACTGAGAAGACGGGAAACAGCATCGTACGTTAGGGATGTTACGCAAGAGCTGTGCTGTGTGGATGAGGTAGCTGCCGTCATCTGGAATGGGTTGTGTAGCTAGAAACTTCTGGCAAGGATAAGCAAATACTAAAGCCAAGGTTCATTGCAACTAGCTTTGATTATTTAAGCCACGGCTGGTTTCTTGCATTAGATACACAGGTGTCTAATGCCTCCATTAAGAACAGGAGATGCCAAAGATCTCCAGCGTTTTCCAGTGATAATACATGCCACTTATTAACTTGTTTGTTTAACAAGCTTGAGAGTTTTGTTTTGATTCTGCGGATTTCCTTCAAGCTAGTTTTTCCACATTTTGATTATGTTGCTGTCCTGCAGAGCTAGGGTCAGCATGATGCTGTGGAGCTCAGTCTTGATAAAATTTATGAAAATCTACTTCTAGCATTTCATTTATTCTTGAAGGAGTGTTTTTTAATTCTTTCGTTTCAAATTTCCTTTGTGCTAGCCAGTTTGAATGAGAAATGATTCACTATAGCAGGGAAATTTGGACAAGAAGTCCATGTGGGTGCTTCTAGAATTACCGGCTTTGAGCAATAACGGCACAAGACAGAGCTACCCGAAGAGTAATTTCACTTCCCCATTTGTATAGTTGCCTCTCTACGTTGAACACAGTGTTGCATATTTAGCCAGAGAGGGTGTGATTGTTAAATTATTTTGCTGTTTTTCAGTATTGTGAAATGTGATGTGCCATGTAATCACGGGAAAGACCCATATTAATGTTTTCGTAAAGATAAATTAAGACAGAAAAATATAAATGAAAAATATTATATTCACTGTGTATGAAAATGCAGATGAGGAGGTACATAAAGTTCTAATTTTATTTTTATGCCACTATACACTTGACTTTAGAGCAATGCCAGACTTACTTTCAGAGAAACAGCACCATGGTCCCTTGTAAATTGGGTAATCCTCAGTAGCTACTGGGTAAGAGTTACCCTTAGTATGAAGGCATCTATAATGATGATTCTTAGTAGAACTCCATAGTAACTGGCTTTGTGGCGTACACTGGTCCTGCAGATTTATGTGCTTGCTCACTGACCGTAGACACTCAGAACTTGCATAATTTTCTGCAGAAGATGAGTGAGAACATTGCCTGGAGCTCAGCGCGGCATATATACTCTCTTTTCTGATCTTTAGATCAGCCAAGTGACCTGGGTGGGTGGGAAATGCCTTTCCAGGTGGCTTTGTGTCAGGGTCGAGTTGGTTATTTGCTGTGAGTATGGATCTGCCGAGGCAGTATTTTTGAACTGACTACAGGTAAAGAGTCATATTCTGTCTTCTGCCATTGCAGCTATGAAGCTTATGACTGCTCTTGTGAATGTTGCCTTAAACCTGAGCATTCATCAGGATAATACACAGAGGCAGTACGAAGCTGAGAGAAACAAAATGATTGGCAAAAGAGCTAATGAAAGATTGGAGCTGCTGCTTCAGAAAAGAAAAGAGGCAAGTGAAAAGATTTATTTTTTTTTCCCTGGTTCATGTTCATTCCCTCCAACAGCAAGTCCAGGGTGGTTTGTGACTTGAGTACCATAGTGAGAAACAAGAGTTCAGTTCTGCGGTCGTGTTAGTGTGATCTCAAGCGTATTACTCGGGCTGCATTTTTAAATCTTGTATTAACACATTCAGTCGAGTTTGTGCGCTGTTCTACATGCACAGGACAATTTCAATTCACGGCCCTGTGTATGTGACCAGGCAGGAAGCAAATTAGTCTCAAGTTGTAAGTAGTAGCTGTTTTGGTAATGCAAACAGGTTTTGAAAAGAGAATCACATTTAGTCTCCTCACTGCACTGCCCATTTCTCCCTTTAATCGCTTCAGTTATCACGTAGTGTCTCATTAGTGCTTCTTTTTGTAGCTACTTTCAAGAAACACAGGAGTGGAGGCTATAGCACCTGGTCTCAGGGAGAAGAAGCTAGGGAGACATTAAAGTAGCTTTTAGTAAGTACCAATCTGGCATTAGGTGAGCAAAATCATTAGAAGGTTGCTGTAATCATCCCTAAATAACGTGTTAGATCCCAGGAAATTCAGTTTTAAAGTTGTATTTAAAAGCTAAAAAGTACAAAATGAATACATATCCACCCACACAGCCATAAACTGTAAAGATTCTGTGTAAAACTCCTAAGATTGATTGAAAAATTGAAGTATGTATGACTTAGATTTAAATTTACCATTTTTAATGTAGTAGTTCTGAATCTATTTCCTCAACCACTGTTTTTCTCCATGGCAAATTAAGGATATCTGGGTGCTTTACGCCTTTTAGGCGTAACTGATTCAAAATTTCTTGACCATTTGTAGTCTTTGTCTGGGGATAATTACAATTATGTATTTTTATTTTTGTTTTACTGGTATGATCTGTGACACAATTTTATTTGACTTTTGTAATTCTTAAAAATCATGCATATAGGATACAAAACAAAAATAATCTCTCCTGCCCAAGCTGCAAGGGAAACATTTTAAATTAAATATTAAATTCAATATCAGCCATAAAGCATTTTAAAACGCAGAATTAGTATGTCGAAATAGCTGGAGCAGAGCTTCTGTCCCGGACTTTTTCGTTATTGCTTTGCATTTCCAGGGCAGGATGAAGTAATTAGTTACACTGATTAACTTTGTTTAGTATCTCTGTGTGTATGGACGTCCTCTATGCTCATTCCTTCATCTCTTCTTTTCGGTGTCTGCTGGAGATGCCCTGGGGAGACTCTAAAGCAATGGTACCCAGGATAGCACAGGGCTGTGAATCCCTGAAAGAAGATTGAGCATTTGGCAAACCTTCACTTTTGATATGTATGTTCAGTCACTCTCTCGTACCACTACTTGCCAAAACTAATCAAAATGTTACACAGGAGTAAGCCAGAGAGGAGGGGTGGTGAGGAGTATGTGCTCAGACACGTAGTGTGAGGCACCGTAGAGGGCCCTGTATGGAGGAGAATTGTTGGGTTTAGATGGCACAGTGCCTCTGTCTAAGAATTCCTGACATAGTGTTTAAATATATTGAATTTACAACGGTGCTGGCACTTTCTTAGCTGATTCTTTTGATGTAGTGTCATCTGAATAAACCCTCATAGGCATATACACAAGCCTGTCCTTGTCCTTGTGAAGTTATTTAGGGACAGTTTGCCAGCCAAGTGTGGCAAATTAATCTAAAGTAGAAGAGGTGAAACACTCTCTCTGAAGTGTTTCTTTCTCATGTCACCTTGTACATACCTAATGTGAGAGCAGTGTGTGAAGGTCTATTCTCGTCAAGGAGCTTTTTAGCTGAACTAGATGATTTATGTAACAATCTGCCACAAAACAGAAGTTGTATTTTAGTAGCTGCCAGTAGTAATTCAAAATTTGAGTTACTCATACATGTCTTTTTGAGCTTCTCAGAATGCTTGCAGATTCAAGAAAATAATTTACTGAAGTTGGGGATGGGAGGGAGCGTTAAATTGCTTTTGCGTTGATAAGAGCAGAAATCACAAGACTTAAATGATCTCTCAAGATGCCTGAAGTTAAGCTCTCAAATTCAAGTACATGATCTAGAAAAGCTGAACGTGTAAAAAGCAATTAAAGTTTTGGAGAAAATTAATGTTTTTCAAAGAATTGCTATTTCATTACTGAAACCAAGATACATTTGAGAATTTTGTCTTTTAAATGTTAGCACTCAAGTGTAAAAAGGGTCTCATATGGACCTACTGAATCTTTGATTCTCTTCTACCCCAGCACCTGATCGCTGTATCAGTTATACAGGGGGTAACTTAGCGTGTTTCTAGTGAGCCGTAAATACCAGTAGAAAAAGCGGGAAAAGAGAGAGGAGGCCATCCATGCCATTGCCTCATCTGTGCCACTTAGTCTTGTATGGTGCTGCTCAACTTCTCATTCAAAGAAGTGTCAAAGTACACTTTTCTTGAGGATCTTACCCTTCCTGTAGCTCATATGGTTCAGACTCTCCTACTTCTCTTCTGTGATGTGTTTTCATACCCAGAGTTCTCCAGGAGCTTTCCCTTTCCCTTGCAGGGCTTCCTGAGGATTCTTGGTTCATTCCCGTCCTCACCAGGTTGTCTCTGGCCCCATGTTTCTGTGGGTGTTTGCCTGCCTGCAGCCTGTGAAGTCAACCACTTGAGGCATGACTGGAGATTGATGCTCCCTTTTGGGGTTATGTATTCTTGAACAAGCCGTTAGTCTGTGCATATTTTGGTTGAGCTGATGCTGAAAAAAGTGATTATCTCAGAAGCCACGTCAAAATATGCTTGTTTTGTGTACCAGCCCTTTGGTATACACAGAGCTGGTGCACACCCAACTTTTCGCTTTGTACATAATCCCTTTTACTGTGAAATTAATTTCTTTGGCAGTGTTTGACAGTTTAGTCAAGAACCCTTCATGCCTCTGTTTTTCCATATGCAAAGTGGAGGCAGCACCTCCTTAGGTTTTAGGAAGCTGGGAGACTTCATTTACAGAGTTTTGCAAGCTGCTTTAGATCTTATCTGGGAGACACTGTAGAAATATTTATAAACATGGCTTGAAGAATGTAAACCCGTAGGTGAAAGTGTTTATGGGCTCATGCCATGCAATGAGTCAAAACAGCTGATCTTAATTCTCCCTCTTGCTTTAAGATGTTTTATCCATTCAGTATATATATCCATAATTATGCAGGTTATATTATTTTATGCATGTATGCACTCTGCACTAGCAAGGCTCTGTTGTGGTTTTCGTACCGAAAATATGGAGAAATTTACATTCCCACATGTTAGTGTTCTGCTTTGACATTAAGAAACACCTTCATGGCAGAGTGATGGCTTTGAGTGTCTTGGCAGTTCTGCTCCAAAAGCTGTTCATATAAAATTGGCATCGTCTTACGTAACAAAACTGCATTTTGGTGTAAGTCATACATACTTTGTTTATTACAAAAGGTGACAGTATGAGAATACTTTAATTGATTCCAAGGTGTTCCTTTAAGTTGTGTTAACGTATTCATTGACACAAAGTGAGCTTTGCGTACTACTTGCAGAGCGTGCTCACGTTACACAGGAAATAACAACTTTTTGTAAAAGACACTCTTATTTGTAAAAACATATTCATAACACCTTTTCATGTGGGCTTGGTTTTGATTGGGATTTGGTTTTTTGCAATGTAATGCCTGGATGTCAGGTACATTCCAGTGTCATGCACCCAGTGCTCTGATTCGGAAAAGCTTCCTGGTTCAGAAGCTCAGTTGTCATGGGTGCTGAAGTTAAAGTGACTGATGCTCACACTTGAGGTTTAGAACATCTTTAAGCACTTCCCTTAAACAGGTCACTGAATTTCTCAGAGGGGATTCCTGATCTGTAACCGGCCTCATGTCTGCAGCTGTCATTCACTCACAAGTCTGCATGGGTTAACTATGAGTACAGGACTGCCGCCATTACTGAACACACTGTCCAGATTTCAGTAGCAAAAAAATGATGATGACCACTTCAGACGACAAATTTGGAACTAAATTAATTGACATTTGTGTATACATGCACATATTATAGGTGCTAGAAAAGTAGAAATTGGTGAATCTACTAATACCACTGGTTAAATGCTGTTCCATGGTCTTCTAACGTTTCCCAGTAAGGAGTTGTAGAAGATCAAATTATAGTAAGCAGTGATCTTTTATTTACTTTTTGTTTTGTTTTTTTTCAGCTGCAAGAAAACCAAGATGAAATCGAGAATATGATGAACTCTATTTTTAAGGGTATATTTGTTCATAGATACCGGTAAGAAAATGCATGCTACAATAGACTCTGATAACAAAGTATAGTTGTAAATAATGTCAAGGGCGGTTTCTGTGTTGGTTATTCTTCTGATGTGGCATTCTAAATGTCACAAAAACATCAAAACCACTGAAGTTACGGAAGAAAGTATAAGTGTAACCCTAATAAATTACACAGTAGAGGCATCCACACAATTTTATTTTAACTCAGTAAAACAGCTTTAAAGAGTTGTGAGGGGCATGGAATTTGAACCTTTGTGTTTTGAAAAGTAAAATTGTCTGAGGTGTGAACACAAACATGAGATCTTAAAAATAATCGAATGATCCCTGCGTATCATAGGAAGGCAGCTTTGGTTGCTGAGCACCTCTACTCTGCATTTCCTTTTGTATGTCTTAGGTGTAAACAGCAAGTTTCTGATGTTTCCACCATATGTGCTTTAGCCACAGCTACAACTGTGCTTTAGGCATTTCCCTTCTGAAATTACATAAAGGCAATCATAAGTCTTAATTCCAGATAACATGGGTTTTTTGTTTGTTAATTGTTTTGGATGTTTGTAGCAAGAACTTAAAGTGATTGCAGTATTAGCACATCACAGAGGGTTTTTTAATAGTCAATACGCTATGTCTTGTGAATACAAAACCAGAGCAGTTTATATATTCATGTGTATGTATGAATGTGCTCTTCTGTTCTGGAATTGCACAAACCAGTAGATTTGGACTGGTGTGTGCTATGGTTTTTCAGAGCACAGTAGCCTTTTAAAATAGATTTGGGGTTGGTTTGCATGATAAGATACCTCAGAGCATCCACAGCATCTTGGTGCAGCCAGTTCTTTAAATGTTAATTGGCTTGCTGAAGTCACAAGATACAATTCAAGGATACTAAACGATGCAATTAACCTTTCAGATCTAAATTCTGCTTTAAACCTTTTTCATTTATGATGCCTTTTAGACAAATTTCAGAAAATAAGCAAGATTGTGTGAGAAGAGGGTTAGAAGGTGAAGAGGAACCCATAGTTCAGTTGGGCAGAGAGATAATAGTAAATACAGTGAAAAATGTGCGGGAAACCTGGAAGGGGCTTGTGCTAAGAAATATGTGAGTGTGAACACGACAATGGAGTTGGAGCATATATCTTCGGTACACAAGATTGATACTTGAAAGAACTTTTACAGTTCATGGTCAGTAAGCCTTGAGTTACTTGGCAACAGAAGGATGGGGATACAGAGCCAATGCGTAAATTAGAATATTAGCTCAGCATAGCACCCGCTCTATTCTGTTATGAAAGCAGCTTTTGTGATGTGTAGGTAACAAAGGTGAAGAAATTAAATGCAAGGAGTGTTTCCATTTTTGTACCCTCAGAATACAGTGTATTGTATCAAAGAAGAAGTCACTTTCAAGTATTTTCCTGGTACCTCATGCTCTTGTGTGGGGTTGGAAAAAAACTCTGCCTTTTGGTGGTCTGCATCTGCCTTTTGACAGTCTGCATGCTGTTCCTTTTATTTTTTTTCTTTCTTTCTTTTTAAATCCACCTTTTGTAACCAAGATTTCTTACCATGCCTCCTGCCACCATTAGTAAAGGCCTGATTTTGATGATACTCCTGTAACAAAGGCGAGGCCAAATAAATAAACTCAGCTTATCCGTGCCCTGAAAAAAGATGCCTCGGCTGACTCTGTTAGACCACGGAAGCAGTTGCTGAAATCAAGTCAAGCAGTAGCGTGCTCTGAGCAGGGTGGGTGGCAGGAGGGTCAGAACAAGTAAGTGCTTCCAGATCTGCCCCGAGAGCTGCTTTTGGGAGGAGTTGTCATCTCTCTGGCTTCTTTAACTTCTGGGAAGTTCCTAAGAGAGTCTGTTCCAGCATACACCCCGCTATGAGTGATCTTCAGGCAAGACACAAGCTAGATTCAAATTTCTGCAGCCACGGCTGTGCAAGAACATACAAAGGGTGGGGGGAGGGGAATACCTGTATTAAAACCAGCTAATTGAAGCGAAAACCAGGGTGAGGGGCAGCAGGGGGGAGAAAAAAGGAAAGAATCTCGAACTGTTGTCTACTTCCATGATGTATCTTAAGCATGCCTTCTTTCAAATAGTTCAAATGAGTCATAAACTGGACATTGTTTTACAGCCCTTAGACCATGCACAAGTGGTAATGATTTCCAAAGAACACCATTTTAATTATTCCCAGAGAATAAATCCCTCTCCATATATGACTCAGACTCTGCCCCACGGATTCATGCCTACTGAGTTTGTAACTTAAATAGCCAGTCCTTGATCCAGACAAAAGGCGACCTCAAACCGTTTTGTTCAGAACGTAGCTCTCTTCCAGCTAGTAAGCCAGTGTTGCGTTGAGGTTTGGTCTTTCTGTAGATTGGCTTCCAATTTACTGAAAGATTTCAATGACCACTTTTCACATTGGAAAAATAAAAAATTACGAAATCAGCTTAACAATTTTCTAGGTGTAATGTTAGTCCAGTGTTAACAACAGTTTTGGTCAAAAATTGATGTATTCTTAATAAACACGCAGGACACATACCTACTTTACTGCATGTTTCCGTATCGCTTTCCTGAATCACTTTTTCTGACTGTTTTTGTGTTGCTAACTGAGAGTTAGCATTGAAGAGGAGATGTTAAGAGTAAATTCAGTTAGAGCTCATGTTGGTGAGCATAAAACCAGAAGAGATAGTGACTGTGGTAAACAGGGCTGCAGGGCCCTGAGGGGAGTCAGACTGTGGAACAGGTTGTGCAGAGACGCTCTAGAATATCAGGCCTTGGAAAGAGTAAAAAAAAAATAATATTGTACAAACCACGTGTGGGGGTTCGGATATGATCACGTTTGGAGGTTCTTATCTCAAAATAACCAGTTTTGTGTCTTTATGAGTAATACCTTTGGTATGTAATAATGAGATACTGTATGCATGTAGGTCAGGGATCTTGAAAGTAGCCCTTTTTTTTGTCTGAAGTTAAACAAGCTGAAAATTGCTTGCAGGGTACATGGGTATTAAAAAAAAACCCAAGAGGCCTATTTCTTTATTTCACTTGTATCTGCGCATCAGAGATTACTTTGAATCTAAGATAATTGCCACATAGCTTCTTAGATGTAACAAGTATTTTTAAAATGTTCATCAGCCTCTACCTTTATGTGAGATGTCAGCATTTTGGTTTTGCTACTTCCCTACTTTTGACTTCGCAATGGATTTCCCTTTCAGAGGGTAAGATCCAGAGAATTCTTATTTGAGTCCTACTTCGTAATATCTTTTTGTTTTGAATGCTTAAAGAGCTGTTCCTCCAGATGTTAAATGTCCAGCAAAACAGTACTATTACAGGTTTAACTTCTGCCAGACCTGAATGGGAATCCTCAGACTGATGGACATGGTGATTTTGTGAATTTATGCAATGCAGTGAGCCTGTCCTGAGGTATTGTTTTGGAAGTACTGATAATTAAGATGAAACTTGACAAATCTAGATGCCATCTTTACAGAGAAGATGCTTCTGTCTCCTTCCAAGGTGCTCCTTGCCCTCCTACTGAGTAAATAGGATGATGGTGACAACTTACATGTGAGTTCTACTCTGGGAAACAAGAGTGTTGCATGAAAAAAAGGGAGAGGGGAAATTAGATGGAAGTCTGGTGAGGAAGCAGGTAAGAGACCGAGATAAGCAAAAACCAGTCAGCATAGGGAAATGAAAATCCAAACAAAACCAAACAAAAATCCTTTTCCCTCCCTCCTGAATGTGAAACATATCTTAGGTGACAAGAAAATGTGTTATGTTTTTATGTATGTTGAAATAACAGATAGAAATTACCATTTGTTGCTTAGAGGCATAAAAAGAAAAGAGAAAGGCGAAAGGTTACATCTTTGTACTTAAATGAGTTTGACCTTAATATTAAAGTTTAAAATCAAAGCCAAGTATCACATTCCTACAAAGCCAAGTATCACATTTCGTATAGGCAAAGGTGTTAGTATCTGAGTCTCTGAGAAACATTGGCTTTAGAGATCCATAGAACCACATCTTGAAATTCAAACAATACAATTCCGTGGTCTGGCAAGAGCATTGAATAACTGGCTTAGTAACACATTATTGAAATGACTGTGCAGAATTACCTAAAAATTACTTAAAAATGGAAGTGCTGCTTACCAACCCCTCCCAGGGGTGGGATACCAGAATTTTTGAAAGTGAGCTCTGCACCCTTATTTTTCTGGCTCTTCTTCCCTTATGGGGTCCTAATTCATCTCCAGAGATGGGAGAGTCCCAGAAAAAAATAGAGAAGGTATGTTGTCCAATTCTTACTCCATCTTAAAAATGTTTAGAAACTGCCAAGCAGTCCAAGAGACAGGCATAGTTTGATCCAACTGGCAATGGTATATTGTTGTTGACCAGCACCGTTTCATGTCCCTTGCCTGAGAATTTGAGATTCCATCTCCAGAAATGCCAGAGGCAGCTGATTTGACCCTCGTTTCTGTCTCTGTTAGAAAGTTTTCTCGTAGACTAATGCTTATTACAGCCCATTGACTGAACCACCTTAGTTTTTTTCTGTTCCCTTCCCCAGGGAAGCGGTGGAGTCACCATCCCTGGAGGCATTTAGAAGGTGTGTAGGTGTGGTGCTTAGGGACATGGCCTCGTGGTGAACCTGTCAGTTAACAGTAGGACTCAATGATCTTGAAAGTCTTTTCCAACCTAAACAATTCTATGATTTGCATGTTGAGTAAATGCCATCTTCTTCTGAGGGTTATCTGCAGTTCTCTCTGTCTTATGAGCAAGATGTGAGAAGCAGCAAACCCCAGAGGTTTGCTGAGGCAAGCAAACAGGCAGTAAGTGTGCACTCAAGCAACCTTTAAGAGTTTCCAAAAAGTCTTGAAGCAGTTACTGCTCTGCTAGTCATCTCCATCTCCTTAACACTGGCAATGCTTTAAGGAAGGATTTAAGCATCCATTTCGGTGCACACTGGCCAAGTTAGCTTAAATTGCTTTCAGTTTTGGTTTTCATTAACCTAAAGGAGTTGGTGTTCAAATAGACTGAGAGAACCCAGAAGCTGTAACTGGCAACCACTCCAGCAAGATTCTGAGGAGCATAGCCATCTCCACCTGACTTATCCCAGTTTATCCATTATAGACTCTACGTTTCAGGATCCTAAATATTTTTGGCCTTAATCAAAATACTTGAGTGTAATTTAGTGTGAAATATATGCTAAAGTGACACTTTTGAGGATTGTTTCTCTAGAGCAACTGGTAAAACCTGTTTCCTGACACTGTTTACTATGGTTTATCCTAAGTTTTATGAGCCTACCTTGTCAACCCAAATTTTTAAAAAATACGGTGAATTTCTTACCTGATCCCCTTTTGTCAAATCCCTTTACAAAGTTTGTGTCATGGGGACACTAAGAGTAGGAATATAGGTTGTGAACTTTGCTGCAAATAGCTACATATTTCCCATTCACCGCATAGACATTACTCTGCAGTTTATGCTGAAGAGAAGGTTAAATATATTTTATATCTAATATTTGTAGATCCAGCATTAGTTTTGGTTTCTGTGCTGTTCCGTTCCTCTCTAGAAGCATTTGGCAAGTAATGCAAACTCATGTCACTAATTTATAATCATGGTAATTAATAGTGCATGAATTATTCCGAAAACGCTTCCAGTGCTGTTATGATTAGTATTTATCTGTTCTTGTGTCACCCACAAATAGTGTATATTTTCAAAAACCTGAACAATTGATAGTGACTATGACAAGAAGCTAAAATACACTTAAGTGTGTAAAAATTGCAAGAAAAATATTATAGTTCAATAACAAGCAATCGATCACAGGTGTAGCAGAGATGTTAAGGTTTTTTGGCTGTATTCATGTTTGATACAGCATCGTGCAGGAGTGGAATCTGTGTTGGTGATTTTGGCAAGAAGACAAATGATTCTTGTTGGTACCACAGTTATGGTGACGGAGTAAGAAATTGCTGTCTCACAAATTGTGCTGTTGGCTTGTCTCCCATGCCTTATGCGTGATTCTTTCTCATTTTCAGTTATACTGAAGATGTTAAATTTTTATTATACCGAATCATGTACTTATTTGAATAGCTTTATTCTTCCTTTTTTATTTTTTATTCTTTCTTCCTTTTTTTTTTAAATTATAATTAGCAGCTTGGAGTGAGTGTTTGTCCATAGTGCCTAGGGATCCCTCAGAAGCTTTTGAATCAAGAATTGTTTTTTCACTGTCTGCCTAGTGAAACTTGAACACTTTCTTACAGAAAAGATAAATTTTCCTTGTTTTTGGCTGGCTGTGCTGCGTGATTAAACGACTGTTGACACTTGGGTTCTTTTTGGGATTGCCGTTAAATCCTTCCCAAATGCTTCGCAGTTAGTAAATTTATAAGATGGTGAAATAACCTACTTGGATGACTTAGGCTGTCAGCCCTCAGTGGAAATGTCTTCATGGGTGCTTTGTGTTGCTGCATATGAGGCTCCACTTTTTTTCTTGATTCATACTTAATGATCTTTTCTTTATGTCTTGCATTCTGATTCCTTCCAACTATATTTTGTTTTAAAAATAGTTTAGAAATAGTTCCATATAAGATAATTGTTAATCAAGTTCAGTGTGAAATAATATACAATTAGACATATATATATATGAATATATTCATAATTTTAATTAGAACTTGTCTTCCTTGTGGCTGCATTCACCATAATGAACGCGTTTTTTTTACTGCAGACCCTCAAATGTGATATTTTAGCACATTTGTCCTTACAGCATCTAAAACCCATTTGAAAAATCCCTGGTAGGAACAGCTTATTTAATGTCCTACTCTGCTTGTAATGTGGCTTTCTACATTGTGAATTGACAATTACCTTAGTTTTGAGGCTAAAGGAGTCTTCAGGGGGTTCAACAGACCAGTTTTAATGATTCTGTTTGAAAGTTGATAAAATCAGTGTATGTCGTGCAGGTAAAGAAAGTCAATGTTAGTGTTTCAGTGGCATTCCAACAAATTTGCCCCTCATGGTGTTTTATGCTGTTACATCAGTACGGTTTCCTCTGTGTAATTTGAAATTCAGTGAGAAAAACAGAGACTTGACTGTAGGAGTTTCACATCGAGCCATGTGCCGCTGCGATTGGTTGCCGTGTTCGTGTTGGAGCTCTGGTTTTCACCCTGGTATCTGGAAGATCCTGTGCAGTGCAGGGGCACCCACTGAGGGGAACCAGTCTGTAGGTTGGAAGGACGTAAGCAGTTACAGTATGAAGGACTCATGGGGGGTTTTTTTCACTATTTGGTGTGTATGAATATATTCAATAAGTGTCTTGAACTTAAGATTTGGTGTATTTTATTTTTATTTTGTAAAATTTGAAATTTGAGGGAAAATACAGTTTCTCTTAATTTGCAATTATTATCTTCCTTGAAGCTTAGAAATTATTTATTTTTTTATTTCTTTCCATAAATTAATTTTCATCTTTGGGCTCTCCTGGTGCTGTTCTAGAACTAAACTGATGTTTATTACTTTTCCAAAAAGATTTTTTTAGTACAAATGCAGAACAAAAGTCTCAATTATAAGCAAGCCTTTTTTTTGCAAAGCACTAGACATTCCCTTCTTCTGTACAGTGGCTCTTTATGTTCCTCTTTCATTACAGCTGAAATTTTGAACTGTGAAGCAGTGCCAGCTGGAGTGGCACAAGTGGTTTCTCATAGTAACAGATGTCTCAGAGATGAAATTACTAAAGGGCCAGATGGCCCCAATCCCTTCTCCCGTTGTTTACCCGTCGTTCATTATTAGTAAATACGCCATGCTCTCTGTCAGTCGGGCAGGAAAGTGCCAATCAGATTGAAATAATTTCCATCCCTGATCTCTTTCGGTGATCTCTCCAGGCAGTTTCCTGCTGCCCCTCCTCAATAAGCAGCTGATAAATCTGCCTGAGATATGTCTCTGCCTCTTCCATCACTTGCCACAGTCAGAATATAGGAAAAAGCAAGAAAATTGAAGAAACCAATATTGAGATGCAGTCATTCTTGTGGGTTTTGTTATAGGGCTTTCCATGCAATGCATGAAGTGAGAGCTGTTTATCTTCCAAATTGCATTGTGGCAGGCTCTTTGGTTAAACCTCACAATTGTTCTACATGCCTAGCTGGTGTCAAGCCTGTTAAGCAAATGTGAGTGACCACGTTTCAGAAACAATTGTCTAGAGGAGGTTTATAGGTTGGATTCATAATTCTATTTGAAAAGAGGGAGGGAAAAAATGGACTAATAGACTAAGAAGCAAACGAGGGTGAGATTTTTTTTGTGATAATGGAAATATATCTAAACATAGAAATACTGGAATTTTTTAGATCAGTGAGTTCAAAGACATAAAGGAACAGAAAATGCAGCGTGAGCAATGACAGGCTCTACATGGTGAAGTTCATCAAAAGTAAAAGCAACATATTACAGCTAGGGCAATGGGAATGAAAGGTAAATGGTATAGGTTGGTAATCTGGTTAATGCTTTTCCTTTTCTTTTTTCCTTATTAGTGATGCTATTGCTGAAATTAGAGCTGTCTGTATTGAAGAAATTGGTGTCTGGATGAAAATGTACAGTGATGCCTTCCTGAATGATAGTTATTTAAAATATGTTGGTTGGACACTACACGACAGGGTAAGTATGGTGTATTACTGTAGTGTAGCGTAGGTAGCTGATACTACACTAACCAAGACATACTTCGTGTATCATCTTTGATTTACAAAAGACGTTGTTCTTTTTTTCTTGCCTGTTAATTTTCTTTCAACCAGCTCAAGGTATTCACTTAAATGAGGATACAGTACTCCCAAACTGCATGCTTGGTTTATGTGCTTTTCGTGTTTTCGGTCTCTATTAGAATATCTAAATAGAAATGTTTCTGTGGTGCTTTTCTTCTGATTACAAGAGAAAGAGAAGTTTCACTCACCCCTATTTTGCTACCATTGTCCAAGGAAAACAGATGCAACATACCTATACTGTTGAAATGCTCATTGAAGTCCAGCATCCTGATTCAGACTGTTCTTTTTTTCCTAGGAATGCTACTGGAAAATATTCAAATTTTGCAAGTTCATTCTGCTGACTTGCATAACTGGTAGTTAACAGCTAATTCTTTAAAAACATGTTTTCTTCAGTAGCTTCGGACAGCATATTAACATTGAAGATGTGACTTGATCACTCTTTCGCTGAAGCCTGAATAAGATCAGTTAGAAAAACAACTTCTTTTGCTAATGAAGGAAGTTAGCTGACATCGGTTCTTTTGTTTTTAGCTATAGCTGACAAGGCCCTAGGTCTTACCTGGATTTAGACCTACAATTGGCTTGTTAAGAGTATCCCGTATGCTTTAGAGACTAGGTATGTGCTGTCTTTCCTGTCTAAACCTATAGGTCTCAAACTTCTACTTTACAAACTTCTTCCAAACTTTTGCGTTACATCTCATTGTTGAAAACTTTATTAGGAGGAAGATCCTGCTTACTGCTACAGTCAAGCAGGAGCACTGCTTACTGTAGCGACATCACACTTCTGTCATTAAAGATTAGTTCTGGAAACCTGACTGTCACTGTGCTTTGAGGGACAGAGCTGCTGCTCCATCTGTGTACCTCATTTTTAACTTTGGTGTGCCTCACTAGTAGGCAGGCATGCTTCAGGAGGTGGAGATCATTGCTTCGAGTTATCAAATCAGTGAGGAGGTCAACTCAGGTTGGAGGATTAGGTGTGGTGGAGGACTTCATTTTAATAGGGCTTTTAATTAAAAATAATTTATCCCTTGAACAATTGCAGTGGATTTTTCGGAGCACGTTCTAATTCTTGCAGAACATTTTTGTGAAGTAGCATGTCCAATGGCAGAGCAGAATCTAGTAGTGTTGCACTTGGCACCTCTCAGCTCCCTTCTAGTCTCTGTGAGCTCTGGCCATTTCTCACAGAGCTCCCTTTAACCATCTGCAAAACCCAACCGTTCCTGACGGTTCTGTCTGTGGCTGGTGTCAGCTTCTCAGACTCTCCTCTGTCACATCCAGCAATTTCTCATGTCATGTCCAATAGTTTCTCACATCCTCTTTGGTTAGCTTAACCTCAGGACGGGGTCTCGTCATCTGTCTGCAGCCTTAACATGCAGCTATACCTCAGCTTTTTAAAAATTAATATATTCTTTCATATCAGACAAATTTCAAATTACGCTGTTATGGTAAAACAAAAGGTTTTGCATCTGGACCAGATACAGAATGAGGCTACTCTCCTGCCTCTGCTTGCTTTGTGATATTTTTTGTTGAAGGCCCAGAAATGCCTTGGGATTCTGAGTCTTTAAATCACTAGCCAATCTGTTTAATAACCTGATATACCAGATAGGTGGTACTGTTTACTGATGTAGAGTATGTTTAATGTATAGAGCGAGACAGATTGTAAGTAGACTAGGGAAAGTCGTAGGCAGGTGAGCTGTGTGTCAAAGCATGAGTAGGGAGAGAATCGAGAGAAGGGGACATTTGAGGAGGCACAGAGAGGAGACAGGAAGCGTAACAAGAAGAATATATTGAAAAAAAGGTGGAATAAGAGCCAATTAAAAAACGCAAGCCCTCCAAAAGTACTTTAACAGTGTGGGGTTCATTGGCACTATCTGAAAAACTTTCTAGCTGCTACCCAAGTTTCAATTTTGCTTTGATCAGGAGGTAATTTTTTGTATCATCGGTGCTTAAAATATTGAAAAAATGAAGGCTGAGGCAATAGTCATTTGGTATTTCCGTCAGCCCAAAATTTTTAACTTCTTTGGACGTTTGCTACTACAAAAAAGAGAGGAGGCAGCATGTACGAGATTCATGACCAGCTTCATATTCTACTTCAGAAGGCATACATATTTAACCACAAGGAAGACACAATCCTTACACTTCTTTGTAGTATCTCTGGTGTAGTCTTTCAGAGGTAGGATACAGAAATTTGGTTCTCTGATTTGGGAAATCTGTATGTAAATCGTGTCTACAGGATCCATTTCAGATTAATGTCTATGGAGCTTTTTGGTTTTTTATAGATTACTTTCTCATTTAAATATGAGTTTCTAATTCTGCCTTTCTCTCCTTTTAAGCATCTTCTAAATTCCCCTGGATGTGGGAGCATAAATTAAAAATTCATAAGAATATAATAAAATAGATTTTAAAAACCCTTTAAAAACAACAACAAAAAAGCAAGAACAAAAACATTAAATCAGACTGTCCAGTATTAATTTTCACCTGCCTCATGGATGAATGGAGCTGTTCTGAAACCACAATTTTGTCTGTAGATACCTAGACAGTCATGGTTCTTAAACCAGTTTCTAACACGTAAGAAAATGCTTTCCGCTTCTTTGCGTGCCTCTGTTTACTCGGAGTCTCTTCCTGTGAAAGGAATGAACTCGGAGGCCTCTGGAACAGATAGATGGCTTTTGAATACTTCATTGTGATGACATCCACACTTAAAAGGATGAAAAAAAGAAAAGTTTTTATTAAGATTTTATAGAAACTGAAATTGTCATTTTTCCAGACTTCTGAGTGTTTAACTTGATCTCATCTCCTTGGTACCACCTAATTTCTGTGGGTTTGGGAAAGCTTGAGAAGTTACAAGAATGCATCAGGTGATACACTGCATCTTCATAAATGGATTGAGTGGGCATGTGCAGACAGAACACAACTACTGGCTCCTGCCAGGATACTCCTCCTGTAGATACTCATGTGCTGCAGGACGTTTTCATCCGTCTCTTTCTGTCATTAGGCAGCAGATTACCTCAAAACACAACAACCTGGAGCAGCAAAAATGCAACACAGTGTATCATTGTCATCCCATAAACTGTGGGTGAAGATCTCCAGAATCTGACGTAATTTTTCTAGACCAGAGAAAAAACAACAAACAGAGCAATCTGCAGAAATATGGTAGGGCAAAGAGCTGGGCAAATGAATTAGCAGTTATTAAACCCCGAGAAATTTATAAAAAGAGCAGAATACCCATAGCCACCAAAAATAACTGAGAAGATCCAAAAGAAAAAAACATGAAGCATGAAAAGAGACCAATGACTTTGCTGGCTCTCTGACCACCCACCTATTCAAAAATACTTAAAACTGTGTTTCTGGGAGCTCACAAAGTCACCATCTGCGTGTGATCTAAGCCTTCGTCTGGCGTGGGAGCTGGCACATCGCAGTGCACCTTTACCATTTCTGCAGCTGTGGCGTCCCTGAATGTTAAGAGGAGTCTGGTTCTCCCTGGGAGATGGCAAACTACCTCTCGAAAGTATCAACTGTGTGGAACATGAGTAAGAATCTGAGGTGGCTTGAGGTCAGACTGTAGATCACAGTGAGATTGTTGGTATGAGTCCTGTGATTAGCATGTAAAAAAGTAGGAAAATGGTGTGTTTTCATCAGGATGGATTCTTTTTCACAGCTCTGCTGTATTAAAGAGAATTTTGAGCACAGCTTGACTCTCCCAGACAAATGCAGACTCCCCAACACTGCTGCCATGAAAGGTGTATGTACTGCTTATTGCTTCATTAGCAGCTGTACCAAGTCTTTGCTGAAAAGTCAGAAGTGCCTGGAGGGTTATCTCAACAAAAATAGGGAAAATATGAGAACTGTTCGTCACTGAACAGTGTTGATAAATATTCAATGGGTTTGGTTTAGGTTCTAATTTCAAGTTGTAAATAAATGAAAAATAATTTTCTGTAACAAATAATAAAAACATATAGTTATCTAATGAGAGAATGGAGAATTACAGGAATAAATAGACTGGAGAAAGAGGCATTCATAGAACCTATGACAGTGTGGATTAATTCAGGATTCTGCAATAACGAAGCATCACAATTATAAATTGGACAAAACACCAAGTAAGTATATTTTTCTGGAGGATGAAACATAGAAGGATGGAAGGTCTTAGTTTTAGAACGCTGGTAATGCAAATAATTTGTCAGTTACTTACTCAGAAAATGGCACGGCTTTCCTTTCAGATATGTTCTCTCTGTAAAGCACAGATATGACTACACAAAAATAGCTGGACAGCAGTGCTCGTTTCCTTTAACAGAATTAAAGGCATTGTGTGCTCGCAAGTGCTTGCTGCCTTAGGTGGACTCATACTCACTATGAACTGCAGCTCAGAATTGCAGAAAATCTGACTAAAGTTTAGTCTGGGAAATATTTTTCCTTATTCCTTTCCTGCTTAATGTAGAGTTCCCTGTATATCCACAGTGGTTCTCACAGTCACATTTTCTGAAAAAGCTCCAGTGTTGGTTATTCCACAGCTTTCTGTAGCAGTTTTAGTGCTTAACTGTGTTTGCTACTAAAACGTTCTTATTTGCATAATCTAAATAGTCTGTGATAGTTCTTCTTTATTATTTATGCTCCTACCCACTGTGTGCATAAAAAGCGACAATTACTTTTTTCTCTTCCTTCAAAGCAAATGAACCTTTCTTCATTGAGCCACAAATGTATTTACAGAACATTTGCTTGTGTCCATTCCATAGTGTGCCAAGGCCTTTTAAAGTTTATCTTCCTTTTGTTTTTTTATTCCTCTTGTGCTTGACCTTCTAATTAATTTATTAAATAAGTTAATCTCTTACTTTAGTAAGTCTCTTCCTGTCCTTGCTCTGCGTCACTGTTTGCAGCTTTTACCCTGGCATAAATTTCTGAGGAATTACCCTAACTTCAGCATTCCCACCCACTTTCCTGGATGCGAAATTTCTGTTGTATTTCTTCCCCTAAAGATGTGTTTGGGGTGTTAAAAGCTTATGTTGCTTGGATGATTCGGTGGCTAAATAAGTGAAGGCGGTGCATCCTCTCCTAATGATTAGTGATGTCTCCTGGCCTTTCTATTCAGAATGACAGGCAGCATTTCCCTCTGCTTTTTTAGCAGTTGATCGTATCCACATAAAATTTATCTTTAAGAAAGTTACTTTCTGTACCTTGAAAGATCTTACGATAGATCTTTTAACCATAACTTTGATCTCATTAACTTTCTCTGCCATGGTAGTCAAAAACATCCCTAGAAGACAACAGAAGTGCTCGGAGACTCATCACAGATGTAAAGAGGTGATTTCTCAGGAACAATAGTTCTTCAAGGAAAAGTTCTTCTGAAAATCCTCTTTTCAACTTCTACCCTTCTTTTATCTTCTGTTTCAATTTTTGAAAGAGGTGAGAAGCAGGGAAGAAACTTAAGGATTTTTAGCTTCTGTTTTAATGTTATTCTCTGAATGTTCTTTCATTTGCTACCTGGAGCAGTTTTTTTAAATACAGGCTTGATTATGGAATAGATAGGCTCAGAAAAGAAGCCCTCTGGGTATGGAGTTTTATAACAGAAGTTCAGTAATTTGTATTAGTTCTTGAGCAGCTTAAGGCCTTAGATTCGGTGGTGTACTGAGTCTCATAAAAGTAAGTTCACACTGCAGTGAACTCTTCAGATTATGTCTGAGCAGATTTGTATTTATAACCTTTTTGCCATCTGCAAATACTTTTCAACAAGAATCCGTAGCTTGCTGAGACTATGCAGCTGGGCTGAGTTGTACACCTGTGGGTCCAGCCCTTCTCTTTATCACTGATGTCAGTGTTCCTGTAGGTGACAAACCTTCATCCATAGGCACCGTCTTGTGACACCCAAGTTTCCTGCCTACAGCCACCTGATCAAAGCGATCCCCATGTAAAGAGCCGCTGGGAATGAGCTGCTGCCACCAGAACAACTCAGACAGACGGACACAAGCTGGTTTTCTTCCTAAGGCCTCCTGGATGCGTTGTTCTTCTGGCAGCAGCCCCGCTCTCCAGTCTCTCAGGCTATTTTGCGTCTTTCAGCCTGTGCTTGTTCTGTGATGGAGAGGTGGGATGTAGAAAATTTTGGAGTAGTGAATCCAGTGTGTATTCTTTCTGGCCCTGGAAAAAGGAAGGACGATGCTCGGAGACGGCTGAGTTGCTGGAGCGGGCTACAGGCCTTTTAAACACTTGTGTGTTGATTGTGAACAACAGGTATGAGGCCGAAGTTAACTGTAGTCTCTTTCCTAAAGAAAAATAGCCACGGTCCTCATCAACCACCTTGAGATCATATGTCTTTATTTTGTATTTATTTGCTACATTCTTTATATTTTGTGGAGTTACTTGAAAGGGAAATGGTAAGAGATGTTTAGGTGTGGCACCTTAAATTCTTTATATATGCAAATACGGAGAAGATTTAACATTGTTTGTAGGCAGCTGCATGTGGTTTTTGGTTTTTAGCTGAATTGCAAATTGACTTGTGTAACTCATTTGCATACAATTTTAATGTACATTAAACAAATTACAGTATGCTATTATTTAATATTCATGTGCATTTGATTAGGGTATTCTCTCAGCTAATCTTAATGTGTTTTATTTAGCAAGGTGAAGTGAGGTTGAAGTGTTTGAAAGCTCTTCAGAGTCTGTATACCAACAGAGAGTTATTTCCCAAACTGGAGCTGTTCACTAATAGATTCAAGGTAAGAGGAAATACAATTTTTGGAAGGAGTACAGAAAATAAAAGTATCATCTACCACATCTTGTTGTGGTCGTCGAGTCATGTTTATTAAATGCAAAAATTAACTCATTTGTTTGTGACGGGGCTTGTAACTGCAGTAGTAAAACTGTATTACTAAATGCTGAGATTGAGCCAAATTATTTTTTCAATGTTTATTCTTGCAAAGTTTGTCCGACTTGGCCAGGGTGATTATTTATCTGTATTATTGATAGTTTATATATTGCCATTATTTAGTCTGCATGTGCTTATTTAATTTTAGATTTATTGAGTTTTAAGAACATGTACAAGGTGTTTCACACAATCTAAAATACACCTGAAGGTAACAGCCCGTAACACAAGATTGTTCATAAGACAGCTTCTTCGCTGAATATGTGCTTGTGCTTTTGGAGGAAGAGATACTTTGATCCACATTGCAATATTCTACCCAGTGAAATACCTTGCTGCAGAACTGGAGTTTACATTGTGCTTTTAGACAACTCACTGAGCATGATTGTCCTGTTGAGGAGATAAGTACTGGAGGAGTATTTCATGGGGTTTTTTACTAGCACAAACACGCTGACTTTTTGCTTAACGTCGTGGTGAGAATGTGACTGCTAATTCACTTTGTGGCATGACTCCTTCATTTCACAAGTATCTGGAGAGATGAGTGTAGAAATACTGTCATTGTGTCCCTTCGGATGCTCTGCAAAGAAAGCTTTCATGCACTATCAGCACATCAGTTGACACCTTCTACCATCACTTGTTCTGGAGAACACAGAGCTATGGTAAAGGCTACCCCCGCCAGGAAAGACTAATTTAATTTGTTCATGTTTAAATCATGATTATAATGCTGATGCAAAATTCTATTTTAGTGGAAATTTAAATAATTGTAAGTAACTACTGTGTATGAGACTTAAAAACTTCTCAGTGTAGATTTTATACTGCTTCACTGGTTTTGTCTGTCATTGCAGCTGCTATTAACTCCTCCAGTTTGATCTAGGGAAGCACAAAATACAGAAAATGTGCAATATCTTCCTTATATGTAAAAGATTCATAAAACCATAATGGTACTCAGAGTTTTACCATATTCACTTGAGATGGAGAAAGAAAATGTTTAAACAGCAGTAAAACCTAAATATTAAGAGAGGCTTTTTGTCCAAAATGATAATTATGTAGTAGAAAAGACATTTGGTAATAATCTCCTTCATTTGAGATTTTTACGGGCAAATTAAATAAATATCTCTCAGGAATGAACTACCTATAGTTGACTTTAAAGCCAGAGATGAAACTAGATCATTTTGTGAGATCACATGAGGGCCTACATTCTTCCAATGTTATCAAGCCAGTTTCTGTGACTTTTGCAGTAAAGACGAAGTTTCCTCTCATAGAAGAGTACCTGGCAAACAAGTTCAGACTTCAGACTACTTCTGTAATGCCTCCATAAGCCTGGCTTGCTTATCTCATGACAACCAGAAATGCTAGCTAACATTCCAGGAAAAGAACCCTCCCATTTTCCTTCTTTTCTTGTTCCATCTGTGCAGACTTGTTTATATTTGTTCCTTCTGTAATTCAGTGTATTTAAAAATAGGCCACTGAAACTCTCATGATCTCTATCTTCTTCTTGCCACTAGAAAATGTGCTGGATGCATCTCTCTTAGCCTCCTATAGTTTGTAAGAGAAAATGCTACTTTGAGTCTGAACCTGTCCCGTCCACCAGCAAAACTTTTTAAGCTGACTGGAGGCACTTTGAGAAATAGTTATGCAATGATGTGCTTCCAAAAACTGCAGGAACATGAAACCTCTAAATATTTCTTCCTGGCTTTTACACAGTATAGACAATTTTCTTTGTTAGAAAAAGTTGCGTTATCCTGTGTATTGCTGCTTGGTTTAGAATGGCACAAGGAATTTTCATTTCTATCAAAGAGGTTGAGACAAAAGGGACTTCTGTTAGGAATCTTCTTCTTTCTTCTGTTCCATTAAAGCTATTTTTACTATAGAGACCTGTGTCATTGTGATATAAATTAGAGAAAAAGGTGAGTTCAAAGTCTCTGTGAGCCTAGAGAACAGATATGTTTAACATGATTTATCAGGTTCCAGCCACATCAAGAGAATAAAAAGCTGGCATTGCCCAAATGCCGGCACTTGGATTTACAGCTGTGCTGACAGGGTTGCAGCCCTTGGCACCAGGATGGGGCAAAGTTTTGAATTAATCCTTTTTGAACCTGTGATACATTATTTAAATCTTTTATATTTCCTCATCAGATTTTAACCAACCTGCACAGTTCAGCTGATGTTCAGTTCAATCTATTCAAAACCATCATGAGAAATCTCTCTAGAGATCTTCTAGCTGTTTAAAGTATAAACAAATTTGATCCAGAATGACTCGTACTGGAGTGTTAATATTTCACCGCCTTCTAGACAGCTGTGACAAGGATCTGATAACGTCACTTCTCCGAAGGAAAGACGTTCTTTCCAGCATTTGTTTGTTTCTAGGCATAGGTGATACGCTAGAAAATAAGCTTTGTTCGTCAAAAACAATTTTGTCCATTGAAGAGGAGACTTGGTTTTCATCAGTAAGTCCTGTCTCATACAAACACTAATGGAAGCTATATGGGAGTAGCCCTTTTTCACTCAGTGCCACAGTCAAGACACCAGCAGATTTAGGTGCAGCTGTTTGATTCCTGTCCCTCATCCCTGACCTTTTGCAGGAGAGTGCTGTCTCCACAGCCTGAGAGGCAAAAGGAGATAGATTTCCTCATCAGCCAGTCCTGGTCACAGCCTGATCTTCATAGGCAATGAAAATTAACATTTCAAATTATAAATACAGGCCTGTGTCTTATTTACTGCCATACAGTGGCCAAAGCCGATTGAGCAGCTGGGGTTTGTAACAGTAAGACACAGAAGTTACACAGTGTAGAGGCGTTAGGTGTTCAGGTCTCACACAGAGATGCTGGCATCAAGGAAGAAAACAACACGTCCACGCTGTTTATTTTAAGCCTGTTGTTTCTGTGAAAATTGAGAGAACAGCCTTTTTAGATCAGAAAATATTATCACATCGGTTGGTTTCAAAGTCCAAAAGGACTCCAGGTTCACAGAGTACCTCTCACTCTGTAGGCAGAATATCCCTTCCCTTCCAGGCTTTTTTCAGAGATGTAAAAGGACTTTTACACTTCGTGTGGAGTTCCCTCCTTGTGGGATACTGGAGTTTGAGAGACACTTTGAGGGAGTGTATGAAATTCTGCTGTAACTTTTAAGATCGATATCTTCGGCTGTTTTTTCTCTTGATGTTATTGTTAGTTGCTGTTCCTTGCCCGGGACCTTAGGAAACATGACAGGCATTTTCTTGTCTTATCCACACACAGAATTTCCTGTCTGGAAAGTTATATCACCGTTTGAGTCTCTTCATGGACTCTCCAGATCTAACAGTTAAATGCATCCCCTTTCCCAAGAACTTAATGGTGATTGATAAAGGCACATTCAGTCATAGTGACACAGATTGTCACTACAGACCTGGTTTTCTTGAAAGCTGACACTTGATACCGCCACAATGAATTCTTTACATACTGTTCCTAATTTTCAATATTTCAATGTCAGCTGCTTGATATTCACCTTCAGCCTTTAAATGCCTGGAATAGTAGGGAAAAGTGGTGAACACCTTTATTTTGTCCTGATTTGGTCCCGGTGACTTTCACCGTTGTTTCCTAACACTTCCCTTGTTTCTTTTCCAGTCCCTGACTTCTGTTTTTCGCATCCCAAAATGTCAACCTAGTCCTTCCTGAAACAGGTCAAGCCAAAGAAATCAAGTTTTATTTTCAGATGGCCCAATTTCTTTTCATGAACTTAAATCAGTCAAGCAAAGAACATCGAGACATATTGCATTTTTATGGATGAATAGAAATTCTCCCCAGATAGGAAAGACAACATACACTAATCAATTTATTTTTGATAGCCAGTAAGAAAACTGAAACTGAGGAGAAAGAAACCTCTAGGTTTCTTCTCATAACTACAGGGTCCTTAGAAGTTATAAAATCGTTACATTAGATTAGAAAGTGGTGTGCTTGTCTCCACCAGAAAGAGTACGGGAAAATAGAAAGCCAAACCGTGGAATTTTACACTGTCCTGTAGAAGGTGTGTAGAGTAATTCTTAAGATCAGCTTCAAAAGTTAAGATGTAGCCAAGTATAAAGGCCAAGACTTTATAGGCAGTGTGCTGATGCATGTATTCAAGTGTGATTTTCTTCACAGGATTTCCAAATACACGTATGTGCAGCATTCACTTCTCTAAAATTATTTTTTCTCAGGAAGGTGAAGTGTGAGGCAGTTTTTCTGCTGTCATCCAACCCAAGTACATTCCTTTTCAGGAAAGAACTGTTAAATGAGACCAGTCCAGAACAATGCTTCAGCTCCGGAGTTGCTTGTTTGTTTCCTGGAAAACACACAAGGATAAAGACTGTTTGTTAAGCACTTGTTCTCATTCTTGTGTTCTTGCCTATTGTTCTGTTGTGCGTATAGCACACAGCTTCCTAAGATGTACATTGAGTGGCTGAATAATAGTAAAGGGCTTTCATGTGTCTGGTTGAAGGTTCTTCCTCCTCAAGAGTATTTATTTTGTAATATATAGAATTCTTTATCTGGCAGCTGCTTGTGACTTTCTGTTTTGTCACTTTAATAAAATTCCTTTTCAGGATCGCATTGTATCAATGACACTTGATAAGGAATACGATGTTGCTGTAGAAGCCATTCGATTAGTCACGCTAATACTTCAGTGAGTATTTTTCAAAACTAGTGTATTCTCCTTGAAAGTTACCTAAGCCAGTAATATTTGACTTGATTTCTTTGCTTGTGTAATGAAGTGAAGCTGTTACTTTACACTTAGTATGAGGCTAAACTAAGTATGTAGTAAGATTGTTGTGAATATGAGGTATCCCATCTCCTGGAAATATAATAGGAAATGTATAAATATGTATTCATGCATTGAGACTATTAGTGCATCCATTCTTGTGGAAGAATACCAAAGGGCGTTTATACCTTTTGCCAAGGGCAAAATGCTTGTCCTGCCCCAAACAAGTACCTGTGGGTTACATTTGCTAAAGTAACTCCAGCAGTAGCTAAGCAGAGATCCAGCGTTAGGAGATTTTATTACCTGACGCAGCTGAAAAGAGTCATCTGGTAAATAAGCGACAGGGAAAAGCACTAACTTCAACACCCTTGTTTGGGTTATTTGGGGCTGGCAGTGGTAGCCTGCAGTTTTAAACACTTGGCCATGCAGGAGGAGACCTGCTTCTAGGCCCCCGGCCTCTTACAGAGATGCAATGTCTTCCTTGATGCAAAGACCACTCCAAAGATCATCTCACACGCTGTCTGTCCCCAGCAGTCTCCTTGGTGTGCTTCTAGAGGAGCACTGCAAAGCTTTTATTATATATTCATTAAAAATTATGTTAAAGAAAATATACTTTAAAAACAGCTGCATAGAATTTCTGCATCATACTTAATACTGAGTGGCTCAACTTTGAAAAACATTTTTGGACATGTAGAATTTCACTGAAAGATTAGACTACCTTTTCCTCTTAATTAAGAAGGCTTCGGTTTTTTATTTATGAGTCACTCTGCTCTACAGATATTAGACTTGCAATATTAGGAAGAAAGGAAATCTCATACTGTTACATTTTTAAAGCAAATGTATCAAATATGATCACAAATGAGATGTAAAATAGATCTATTCCCTCCATTATTAGCAATGTTTGGGAACACAGTAGGATTTTAAGTCAAAAATTACCCAGTGCACCTCTTTTTTGCTGTCTCATTTTCTCTGTGGTTGCACGATGAAAACATAGCTAAATGCATTTAACACCAGAAAAATGTGGGTCACGTTGAGCAGCACAGGGCAATATTTTGGCAGGTAGGGAGTCCAAAATACTGTCACAAACAATCATGGTGGGTTTATTTGTAGTATGAAGCCAGATGACGTATAGAGTCCTGGCACATCAGTGTTTCAGAGTGAATTCTGAAATGATAGCTGAATGAATGATACACACAAACCTTGAGCTCAGAAACTGAAGAAGCCTCAACTATGTCGTTTATTCAAGGCAAGGATAAAAGATGGCTTGTTCTTGTCAATAAAAAATTATAGAAAATAAACTTTTCATCGTGCTTCATCCAGCACAGCAGGGTATGATCAGATTCAGTTCCTTGGTGTTGAAAATGAAGTCTGTGTCTAGTCAGCACAGTAACTACCATGAAAGTAATGTACAATTTATTGTATCAGCATTATTGTAATTCTAAATGCTCACCATGATTCAATCCTAAAGTGATTATGTGCTGATTTGACTGCTGGATGCACGGTGCTAGTTCTGTGTCCCCACTCTGGCGTGATATTATTTAGTTTTCTATTGACCGTATTTGGAGCACATCTCTTCCTTATGCCATTGCTGAGGCAGATTTATCCACCTGCCTTGGCCCTTCCAGCACCTGGAATTGGGAATGTTCCCAAGCAGAGAGGCACCTCCTGCCCCGCAGCACACAAGAGCACGTGGAGTGCCAGGTGAAAAGACTTAACTCCTGAGAATGGAGTAAGTCAAGAGGCTGAAGCAGGCTCTCCCAGTGCAGATTTGAGTACTTGAAAAAAGCTTTGCGAGCAAACAGACATTGCTGTAGAAGTAAATGAGTTTAAGCAAGCAATTATATTTTCCTAATGTAACATTTTGGCATTTTAGTTTAATAATGTTTGATAATGAATGCTGGGCATCTTTCAATGTGTGCGTTACGGTTAGCTTAATTAAGTAGGGACAGATTTATAAGGAGTGATAACTTTTTTTTTTTTTTTTTATGCCTGGGAGAAGGAAATCAGACAAACTTTCAGTCTTACAGACCCTTTAAATATCTTTGCATTTGGAAATTGAACCAATGATCCCTGAAGTCAGTGTTCAACCATTTAAGATTTTGTATGAAGGGCATCAGTGTTGTAGCTGTCAAAAGTAAATTATGGGAGGTGAGGGGATTGAAATTAAACGTTTGGTTTAGTTCGGGTGTTTCTGACTCTTTCAGTGGAAGTGAAGAAGCTCTGTCGAATGAAGACTGTGAGAATGTTTATCACTTGGTGTATTCAGCACACCGCCCTGTTGCAGTAGCAGCTGGAGAATTCCTTCACAAAAAGTAAGCTATCAGTTGCCCTGGAATAAGACCAGGTTTATGAATGCTTCTTAATGGGAGTAAGATCAAAAGGTAAAAAAGCAGTAGGAGTGAAGTATTCCAGTTTAGCAAATGAGGTATTTAATTTAAAACAGAGACTTATTCTCATGTGTAAATTCAAGACCTAAAGACTTGAAGAAACTGAATTAACATTTTTCTTGCTCTAGAATTCAGATAATTTTTCATAAGTCCTCAAACCTCTAAAGTTGGTTTAAATCCTGCAGTTCTTGCTGAATTACTGTTGTGGTAATATATATGGGGCCTATACACCCCTGGTGGTCTGCTTGATAGGCAGTCATCATTTGCACCATGTCTTAAACCAGTTTATTTCAAAATTGTAGGCTTGAGAGGGTTTTATGCAGTCATAATTAAGAAATTTGTTTCTAAATTCCCTGACAGCTACTAAAAATACATTACACTGTGGTTACATCTTTCATGTATCCACTATGCCAAAAGAAATGAATTAGCTTTTCCATGGAGGTGAATCACCCCACACCAGTAATCATGAACAGAACATTGCCACATCATAGCAGTTAGCATTTTCATTTTAGTGTTTGCACTTAAAAGTCTTTTAGCCGTAATTTTCTTTTTTCTCCTCATGGATTGTTACACAGAGTTCTTTATATATCAGAATCCAAGTTATCTAATTTTTCATGCTAAGGCACATGATATAAAAAATTGCATAAAAACATGAGTTGTCCTTTACCAGTGTTCTAATTCTATGTATTTCAATTGGTGATTTAGAAGTCCATGTTGTAGTTGTAAGATTTCATTGGTGGATTTCTGGAATTCCATATTTGTGATGAGGCATTATCTGTTTCAAGGAATTAATTTACAAAATTAAGTTACATTTAGTTTCCTACATGACATTTTACGAGATATAGGAAAGACTTAAGTTCTTTTTTAAAATATATATTGAAATTCTTTTATTAATCAGCATGTGACTAATTTTGAAAAAATGTCTCAGGTGTAAGTGAAGATGAATCCGTACCTCAGTGCACTTAGCGTAAAGTCAAAACTTTATCTTAACGAGATACTACGCTGTGTTCTGTAAATGCCTCAAGGTAGATGAGCAGCACTGAGAGAAGATTGTCCCATTCCTAACACTCATTTTCTCTTGGTATCGGTTAATAGATAAGAGCTGGGGCTCCATTTAAATAAGTTAGAATCTATTCAAGGCATTTGCATTGAGATTTATCTTACCTAATTTTATACATTTAAATACCACTTTCTATGTGTAACCAAGTCACTAGACTTACTGGAGTTCGCAAAGGAAAGCAAATAATACAGAGGATCACTGACTCTACCCTGAGGTGCTTCGTTTAAGATGTTTTGGCACCTGCAGAAGTGCTAATTACTTGTCTATTAAGATAAGCAGGGGACATCAGGAAACTCAACACAGAGTGTGTAATTTGCGTTAAAAACTGTGCAAAATCCTTCAATATAAATATATTTTGGAGAACTATTTCCTGTGTGGTATTCTTCCAACTCTGTGAACTTGAAGACACTGAAGATAAATTCATCTCTTCAGACAGGCAGAAGTCATGCTGTCTTTCCCTTGAAATAAATAGCTTTAGATACTTTCACTGTGGTTTATGAACAAATCTACTATACTGAGAATGAATGCTCATCATATTACTGCAGAAATGAGATTTGTGTTAATGGACATGATAGCTCCTTTTGCTTATTTTTAGACTGTTCAGCAGACATGATCCCCAAGCTGAAGAGGCTCTAGCAAAGAGGAGGGGGCGAAATAGTCCAAATGGAAACCTTATTAGAATGTTGGTTCTTTTCTTTCTTGAAAGTGAGGTAAAAATTTCATTTTTAACCTTTTTATGTTTAGTAAAATGTGGAACTTGAGTATTGATTTATCAACATACAATAACAAGTTCTCTTTCTTTTCCTTTTTTTCATAATTTTAGAAATACTGTATGCCCTTTATCCTGCCCCCCATTTCCTTGTCCATCAAGCAAATTCAGCTCAAAATCTTCTTCATGGTTTATTTTGTACTTGCTTGTCCCCACAGTACTCACTACTTCATTGCTGATACTGTGGTGGATTCATTACCACGTAGAAATGTAACTGGTTCTTTTTATAAGGTAACCATGACTGTACCATGACCATGGACCATGGCCACGACTATACTTCTGGAGTTGCTGTGTATGGAGTAAAATAATTTGAATGAGAAAGGAAGAAAAATGACATAATATCTAAAATTATTATTAGAACCATAGAATAATACAGAGTGGAATGGACCCAAGAGTCATTATCTCAAAGCAGAGTCAGCTATAAGATTAGATGATGTTGCTCAGTGGTTTATGCAGTTGCATCTTGAAAACCTCAGAGGAGGAAAACCAGAAGCACACATACAACAACATTAAGTGGTGGATGAACACAGTCAGGTTGGGATTATGCCCATAGTTTATGTTTATAGAGATAGCATGTAAGAGAAGTAGGCACACTAATAGTAATTCAGGTGGGGAATGGCAGTGGAATGGATGAAAACTTGAGAAGATAAACTGTCAGGTACAGGATGCTCTGAAGATGGAGCGGAAAAATGTTTAAAAATAATACATTTGGTGTGGTAATAAATAGGTGGCAAAGGAAGCCTGAAAGAGAGGAATCACAGAACCACAGAATGATCATCTAGTCCAGCCCCCCTGCCAGAGCAGGATCCCCTACAGTAGGTCACACAGGAATGCGTCCAGGTGGGTTTTGAATGTCTCCATAGAAGGAGACTCCACAACCTCCCTTGGCAGCCTGTGCCAGTGCTCTGGCACCCTCACAGGGAAAAAATTTTTCCTCATGTTTTTGTGGAACCTTCTATGTTCCAGCTTGTACCCATTGTCTCTTGTCCTGTCACTGGACATCACCGAGAAGGGCCTGGCTCCGTCCTCCTGACACTCCCCCTTGATGTAGTTACAAACATTTATGGGGTCACCCCTCAGCCTCCTCTTCTCCAAGGTGAAGAGACCCAGCTCCTTCAGCCTTTCCTCATCAGGGAGATGTTCCACTCCCTCCATCATCTCTGTGGCTGCGCTGGACTCTCTCCAGCAGTTCCCTGTCCCTCTTGAGCTGAGGGGCCCAGAACTGGACACAATATTCCAGATGCGGCCTCACCAGGATGGAATAGAGGCGGAGGAGAATCTCACTTGACCTACTGGCTACTCCCCTTCTAACACACTCCAGGATGCCATTGACCTTCTTGGCCACGAAGGCACATGGCTGTGTCCATGAGTGCATGAATGCAGTGACAGAAATGTTTTTCTACAGAAAAAAAGGGTAATATATTTTGTGTAAAAAGCAAAATGCAAGATATTATAATCAGATATTTTAATTGTTATGAAGCCTCGAACAAGGGACTTGACTGTGGGAATGAAAAGAAACACAGTCAGAAATTCTGGAAGGGAAGGATAGCATTTAGGTACAGTGCTCAAGTTAACGTTTTTTAGAAACACCTTATACATCTGCAAGTGCCAATGAAATATCACTACTGCAGTCTGCTATCTAAATGTATTTTTGGTTTCTTAAAACCGTAGATGATTGTATTTTCCAGTGAAAACTCCTTAAATCTGAGTGTGTGTGATTGGGAATTACCTACCATTAAGCTTGTCTACCCTTCTGGGGAGAAAAGAAACTCACCTTTTCTCTGAAAGCTATGAGCAGCAAACTGCCTTCCCATGGAAGCCGTGTGCTGCTCCCCAGGATTGCTTCTCTCTCAGGGCCGATTTTTTGCTATTGCTGGTTTTGAGAAAGTTGTTAGAAACAAAGTAGAATGTTATGACTCCAGTTTTAAGACAGAGAATTGGGATTTTCCATCTGCATAGGACTAGAAGATATAAGCACTGCAATCTAAGAGGGAACAGGTAAACCTGTGACAAGCATCCGTAAGCTCTGTGACTCGTGACATTCCACCCAAAGCTGTCAAAAACAGAATAGTGGGTAAATATACTGATGACTTCTTCCCTATACTCAAATGTTTTCCAGTTAAGACATCAGTCCCATGTCTGACAAGCAAATAAGAAGTGCATATTGTGCTTGTTGCTTTTTGATAGTGGTTTGATCATTTATAAACCAGTAGAAATCTGTGGGTTATTTTTCTTAGTTTACAGTTCTATTAATGCACATTAAAATATTTTTTTTGCAGTTAAAATTAGTGCTCATTCTACACACCCTGAAATCTGTAGGATTTCTACTGTTTTCTGAGCATGTAGCAGCATATACGAAAACTAAGTGCCTGTTCAAAATGAATGTATTACAACCCTGTCTTAGTCTCATGTCTCACCATCTCCCCTTTTTATAATGCAGTATAAGAAAGTGAGGAAAGGTAAGTTTACAGCTTCTGGGTCAAAACTCTGAGAAAGACTTCACAAACAAGCTACTTTATGGAAAAGAAGCTCAATTTAGTTTCATTTCATTTTCTAGCAAAATGTAGCCGCATTGTTGTGCAGTTGTATCACTCAGTTCGAAATAGACCTTCCAGAGACAGTTTCAAACTAAGTTTTTTTTCCAACTAAAGTAAGAGCCCATGCCCAGGACATGCTCTGTGGCCAAATGATTGTGAAAGTTGAAGAACTACTGCTTGTACCCAGAATACTATACTGATGGTTGCTTTGAATTTTCCAGTTGCATGAACATGCAGCCTATTTGGTGGACAGTTTGTGGGAGAGCTCTCAAGAACTGCTGAAAGACTGGGAATGTATGACAGAATTGCTCTTGGAAGAACCAGTCCAAGGAGAAGAAGGTATTTGTTTAACCTCTATGCTTCACTGGTATTGCACTGGTATTGTTCATTACTCCTTAAAAAGATGTTTCACTGTGGATGGTAGGGGTGTTTATATTGTAGTTTGTTTAGAAAGCATATTTGAAGAAGATTTTACTTTAATCCATTTTTAATGCACTTTGCTTCAAAAGCAGCATTTTTGTACTCTGTTTTTCATTTTGTGAAGTCTGGTTCCCTGATATTAAAGGCTAGGACTTCTTGTCTGAATGTTTAAATAACTTGTGTATACATGAACATTTCAATACATTAAAAAGGTAATAAAATTTTGAACAAACAAGCACTTCAGGTGGTGTTAATTAGAGATGGGGCTTTTCCAAACAGTATTAAAAGCTGATGAATTCTCAAGAGGAAAAAAAAAAAAAAAGGCATTCTTTTGCCATTAGTTTTGAATCCCCGTTCACTAATAATAGATCTGTGTGTACAATGTAATCGGGAAGGTTACTGGCAAAGTGTCCTTGTCAGTAATGAATGTCCTTCAAGATCCTTCTTAATCCTCCGGGATTATCCTTCTTCAGGGACCTTCACAGGGGTTAGGTGGTTGAAAAACAGACGTGCTCCTACTGCTTCCTAGTGTGATGTGCTCATCACCTCAGTGCTTCAAAATGTGACCTGTTGGTATCTGCCTGCTACACTTGTGGTATTTATATGGTAATTTCCTTAAGAAATTAGGCACTGTGGTTCTTTGTTTCTGTGTAACCTAGTGGTGTTTGACCCTCCAGATGTGACCAGAAGTACTCCCCAAAGAACAGAACTAATACTTCATGGCGGTGAGAGCAGTTTCTAAGGCAGTGACAGTGAACAGTCAGTCGCTTTTTATTTCCTCGATCTTAGCTGATCCTTAGTTGATCCTTTTTCCAGACTACATTTCTCTGGACTTCTTTCAGTTCCATCCTATCCATTTTGCGATGATGCAAATGGTAATTCAAAGAGCAGGCAAAAAAGCCTTGCTTTTGTAGGGGGGACAAAATGATGTTATCTCCGTTGTTCTCTGCTCCTTGTGTTTTAGAACTGCCTTCACAGATTTGTCTTCTTTAACCTGTTTTGCACACACATCAGAAGGGATGTCACTTGTCCTTTTCTCTCCACAGCAATGTCTGACCGGCAGGAGAGTGCTCTTATTGAGCTGATGGTGTGTACAATCAGACAAGCTGCCGAAGCACACCCTCCTGTAGGCAGAGGCACTGGCAAGAGAGTAAGTGGTACTGCTGTGAGTGACTCGGACCCATTTGTGTTACTATACCGACATAAAATGTTTGTCTTCATTGCCACGTTCTGACACTTTTAAATTAGAGTTTTATAATTGCTGCTTCCTGTTTTGTGCGAATGTTTTTGAAGCAAATAGTAGAAATTGCATTTCTGGAGAAGTTTCTGGGGGTTTTTTGTTTGATTTTGGGTTTTGCATTGCCAAGTTAAGTAATATAAATTTACAGTGTGAAATTCTCATTTTTAGTGATTTTTTTGTCATACCCCTGGCTTACACTTTTAATGTATCCACATCTACAGTCCTTCATGTTAAATCTAGATTAGAATTGAAAGTGTAGAGCTTGGGATCAGAACAAGATTACTTCAAACAGTCTTCCATAAAAAGTAATGTGCTGCTAATATTGAGGTAAATTTGCAGAAAAACTCAACAGTGTCTTCAGCATGGCAGTTATTAAGCACTACAACAGAAGCTGGGATTTTGTGCAGTTTCCATCCTTGACAGTTTTCACAGCTGAGTGAACAAAGCACGGAGCACCCTGATCTCCTTTGAGCAGAAGGGGTGGGACTGGACCTACCTGAACACGTCTGTGGTTTTATGTATCCACCTTCTTTGGTCTCTTCCGTTGAGTACTCTCAAAATTTAAGATTTCTGACATTCTGGCCATATTGCAACCTAGCTGCCTTTTCCACTTATTTTATAGTTACTGTTTGGGGATCAGTGGAAGTCCATTTCTAAGGCTGAGCCTTCGCTTTTAAGCATTTCAGTGTAAGTCACGAGGTCAGGGTGGTAAACAGGCTTTCAGCCATGTTTTCCATAAATACAGCATCAATATTCCAAAAGACTCTCAGCTTCCCAAGTGTATTTCCCCAGTTTTTGGTAGTCCCCATCTTACTTAGGTTAGGCTAAAATGAAATAAACCCATGTGAATGTTTGGTACTTCTGTTAGGTTCTGGTCTGAGTAATCACAACTAGTTTATTAAAGAAAGCTACAGATGTAGCAAAGGTGAAATCTGGAGACAGGTTTAGCATTCTTTATTGCTAAACTAAATGGAGTTACTTAGCTTCTTAATTTTTATGTGCCAAAGCAGATTAGCCTCGTGTCCAGAAACAGCATCCCAGGAAGAGCGCCAAGAAACCATCAATTTAAGCATGCTTTTTGTACCTGAATTTATAAAGTGTATTGCAAGAAATTGCTAATTTATTAAAAAAAATTATGAGTGAGGGGGGAAACTATGAAAGAACTTACTCAAATATACACAAGTATGTATTATCCTGTGTTACCAAAACTGTGTTGTAAGCACAACTTAACTATGTTTTGTCTCTAGCTGCAAACTGTTCTAACAGACAAAGCAACCTTTAAATTTAACAAAAATTTCATGTATTTTTTGTTTGAAGCACCAAATAATGTCACTTTTAGCTTTGTGAGCATTTTTTTCTATCTCGAGAGATCTGCAGTTCATTTCCCTTAAGTTCAGCCGATTGCTTAGTCTTAGATTTTTAGTGTCAATATTTCTTCAAAGTTAAAGAAAACACTTCAGTAAAATTAATTTTGTCTTCTGAAGGATGATCAAAAGAGCCTCGAGATCATCCTAGGGACCCAAATTAATTCCTAGCACTGCTGAAGAGCAATATTTGGTCACCAGGATACGGCTGGGTTGGGGGGGGGTGGGAGCCTGACCTCCTGGCTGTGTGCGCGTGGCCTTCCCGGGCGCCAGCAGCTCTTGCTGCCGCAGGTGGTTCTCGCAGCGAGTCAGCGCAGGAGTTGCGGTGGCTGCCGTATGTGTTCAGCTGTCTGCTGTGTGCTGTGGAAGTGGCTTCTTAGCCGAGTTACAAATCTGTTCCCCTCCACGTCTGCGGTTGGTTGGGGTTCCTGCTCACACAGCAGGCTCCCTGCCATCCAAGCACATGTTTTTGTTTCCAGCTGTTCCTCCTCACTTAGAGAGAGAAGTAGGTGTGACATCCAGCTTTTGCTTCTTTTCAGTTAGATCATGAGTTGTGGGATGGTAACTGCAGGGATCTCTGACTTGTCAGGAGAGGTTTGTCATGTTCTCATGATGTTGCTGGCGTATTCTCTGCGTTGAAATGGGAGCAAATTTCTAATTATGCACTCACCTTCTTGTGAAACAGTTTCTTCTCTGACTTTAGCTTGTAACCCTTATTGTGCAGTCTGGCAGCTTTGCTATACATAAATCACTAGCTAACTTGAGTATTTTATTATTATTTGGTTTGGAAAGTGTTCTTTTCTGAAGCCAAGAAGCCAGATCTAAGCTTTTATGAAGCATGCTGTTTTGATTATTGCCTCTCTATTCACTGGTTCAAGGTGGTTTTGCTATGACAGCATTAGTAGCTTCTGTATATCTGTCATCAAAATTTGTAATTGGTTCTGTGAACTTGAATGTATGTTCTCATGGAGAATTACATTCCAGTTTAGAGATGAGCCCATGAATCTGCTAATGAAAATCTCTGTTACAGTGTGGTTTGATTTTTGTGTTCTTAATTATATTTCAGTTCACCCTGAGGTCTTACATTATCACTGTTTAATGTGTCAAAGCCAGAGCTCAATTTGCTTGGAAGCAATAGCAAAACTTCCACTGACTTGGGTTATATTTGAATTTCAATCCTAAAAAATAGTTGATGTGTCGATACAATATCATGCTGGATGATATGATATTTTCATTTTCAATCACGGCTTCTTAGGACACATGGTCCTCCCATTTAATCATTCCTCAGTCCAAACGTGAGCTTTTTATTCCCTCCTCTTCTGATTTATTAAAAATACATTTGCATGGATTTTTGTTTGTGATACAAACTTTAGAAAAATCGATGACTACTATATGCAGAAATTTTATTTACGTTAGTTGGTTTTGATCCCTTGCAGGTCTTGACAGCAAAAGAAAGAAAAACTCAGATCGATGACAGAAATAAATTGACTGAGCATTTCATTATTGCACTTCCTATGTTGCTATCAAAGGTACATTTTTAAACAAAATGAATCTCTCACTGGTATTAACAACTGTCTTTAATGTTTTCAGTCTGTAGCATCGGTGTTCATTTTTACTTGACTATTTTCTTGTCTCCTTTCAATGATGTTCTAGTATTCCGCTGATGCTGAGAAGGTAGCAAATCTCCTGCAGATCCCTCAGTATTTTGATCTGGAAATCTATAGCACGGGCAGAATGGAAAAGGTATAGTACATTGGGCAAGAAGTCTGGTTGTTTTCAAGTACCTGATTATTTTTGTAGACACACAGTAGTGTGCCTTCATTCGGCATATTAGTAATTTAACCTTGATCTGCTGTATTCTTTGAGTGACTTTTTCTATGAGTTTTATTGTTCGCATAAGGTGAAAGCTGAACTTCTCTTCTGATCTACAGCATCTGGATGCCTTACTGAAACAGATTAAGTTTGTTGTGGAAAAGCATGTGGAATCAGATGTTCTCGAAGCCTGCAGCAAAACCTACAGCATACTCTGTAGTGAAGAATATACAATCCAGAATAGAGTTGACATAGCCCACAGCCAACTTATCGATGAATTTGTGGATCGATTCAACCATTCTGTAGAGGATCTGCTGCAGGAGGTTTGTTTTCTTAAAAATTGATTTAGTTAGACTGCCTAAAATACACTAGGATAAATTGCAGAAAAACATTCTTACCAAGTCATGAAATTATCTATCTGTAGTGAAGCAGGAACTATTTCATAATTATTTGGAACTATTTCTCAGTGTAGAAGATCCCTTGAGCCTAGCCATTAATAGCCTGCAAAACACTGATGCTGTAAAACAAAGGCCATGGGACAGCCCTCCTTCTGAAAATTTAGTCTAGTGTTTTAAACAGCCCACATAAGAAATTAAGTGGATGAGTGGTTGAAAGCTGATGAAAATGCAGACAAAGATGCATTACATCAATGTTTGTGTTGATTCTGTAGTCCCAAATGGATACGCAGACAGCACAATCATGACTGGATTATGTCTTGAATGGAAGACAGGATTAGGTAAAATATTTATGATGGCGTATTGAAAGAGCTCTGGAAAATAAAGATACAGGTCTGAAACCTGGAGGTGCCTGGGATTTACTTGGAAGAATTTAACCTTCAAAATGTATGAGACAGAATACTTTAAACAAGAATAGAAATCTTAGTCATTTTTTCTTGCTTTACATTAATTTAACTTTGTGTAGCACTACTGTATCTGTTGTAGTTTTCACGCTTTTTAAACATAATCTAAGGGCTGCACAGAGCCTTTTCTTCAGTTCTACTCATGCACTGCAGCATGGCAGATACATTTAATTTTTGATGTACGTTTATAAAAAGTTAAGCTTGCATATTAAAGAAAAGAAGTGCTTTTTTCTCTTATTTTTAAGTAATGTGCCACATACAGGCATACTGTATATATACTTTGTCACATTGCAGAGTAAAAAAATGTTTTTCTTTTGCTGTTGGAATGTACATGAGTAAAAAAGGCCAAATGTCCAGGAAGCAGGCACTCTGTAACACAGAGTAGTTGGTGCACCACTGTACATTCTTCGATAGAATAGATTTACTTTGCTCTCTGCCTTCTGATATTTTATAGGTACTTTCCCAGAAACTTCTGAGCAGAACCTGAAAAAGACATTCCAAAACTTGGGCTACATCTCTGCCTCTCTATGTGTGGCAAGGGAATCCTTTCAGCTTTTCAGACATTATGGGTCTTAGCCATCTGTTTTAATAGCCATGGATTTTTTGCAGTTTCACATCTCTGGGCAACAGGACCAAAAATTCTGAGACAAAAACATTGAGGGATCTATTGTTGACTTGAGTAGTAAAAAGGACTGAAGTTGGACTGCCAGCACAAAGATCCAGCTGCAGAACCAGTCGAGTTCTCCACACCAGACGCTCAACAGCTGATCACTGTAAATAGTGGCCTTTGCTCTTTCCACTGGTACCCACTGACAGAGGTTTAGGAACTCTGGTGAGGTCCACATTTTTCACTATCCTCACATCCAACACCAAGGTTCAGTCTGTCTCTCTCTGTGCAGGGACAAGTCTCTTGTGTAGTTTCTCTAAACCTGGCTCTTGGTGAGTCTTCAGCTTATGTCTCCACAGCCAAGCTCAGATCAGCAAAAAGCACCTCATTCACACTGCCTTGCCTTAAGATAGAAGAAGGTGTTTATGGGTTTTATCAAGAATCAGACCAAGAAGCAAGTGTAATCCCAGTTCTTTGACACTGACTTGCTATTTCTGTTACACTATCTTGTTGAAAACATTAAGAAAATGTCCTCTTTCAGCTTTTTCTCATAAAAAAAAAATCTTGGAATTTCTCCAAAGCAAATGCCGTGTCTGTTCGCTCTGGAGACAGTTGTGTAGCAGCCAGTGTAACAATCAGAAATTAGGTCTATCTGAGGACATGCAGCTCTTTTGGAAGAGACCCCTCGAAGTTTCCACACTTGCAGCTGTATAGATGTTATTCATTTGTGGATCCGTTCAAGGATTCAGAGATGATATTCTGTTCCCTCGATAGTTTCACCCAAGAAAAGATCCACTCAGTATTTTATCAATATTACTGAGACACTCACAGATAATTTTTCTGACTATAATCCCAAACTCAGTTAACAAATACAGAAACACTTAGATTCCTCCTGCTGTACAGCAGCTGCTCTTTCTCTGACTTACCCATTCTCCTCCATATGGCAGCTCTGAAGAGGAGTCAAGACAAGAACCAGTCCTCTAGTTCTGTCAGCTGCTTTTCTGTCATCTACATACCCTCCAGGAAGCCAGTGGTTCAGTTAGAATTGAGTTTCCTACAGTATCAGTCCTGTTGTTCTTGGATTCTGTGATCTGAGAAGATCCAGCTTTGCCCCTCCCGTTGCTGCCTCGCAGTCTCTAACTGCTGAAGCCCTTCTTGGGCTCTTCCACAAGCAGTGTGGTCTCTGAGCCTCAAAGAACCACGTTTCGACGCTACAAGCAGTAAAGATGAAAAGAGATTGGAAACTTACCTCTCTTCCACCCTCAGCCCACATTTAGCTCAGTTATGCCAGCAAAGCATTTAGGCCACAGTAGTTTCGACTAGGGTTACAGGAATGTTGAGAGAGTGCACAAAATACAGTCCGTGGCTTAGGTACGCTGTACTGGTCTGCAGTCCTCTCCTCCAGCCTCACCTTTTACCCAAGGGGAATCAGGTGAGAGCAGCGAGATGCTGCAATTCATAAATGACTTCCCACCAATCTTCTCAAGACAAATGAACTAGGGGGGGAAGAAATGGTTTTCCTGCAATTTTTGCATGATTACTAATTAGGAAGCCAGCAACCGCTTATTCCTGTTCCATTTCCCTTCAGTTCTCTTTGCAGGCGGCTCCTGTTTATGCAGCAGCCCAGTGCAAAAAGCCCCGAAGGATGCACGGAGACTGCTGGGCAGAGAGCAAGGGAAGGTTCATTCTGGGCAGAGAGCAAAGGAAGGTTCATTCCTCGTGAAGGAACAGGAGCCAGTGACATCAAAGCACTTCTAGTGTATCCCCTTCCTTATCCCGGCTTGGGAAGGAATAGAAAAATGCAAGTGAGGGCGTATGATCTTTGTGTGAATTCACAGAGAGAAGGATGAGGACTGACGATTTTGGAGAAAAGCTGTATTTGAAAGTCATATGAGAAGTGAAGAATTAAGAGTTGTAGATCCCTGAGGAAAAGGGAGTGCAGCGGTCAGACATAGAGAAGGATGTGGAGACAAAACCAAAACAAAAGTGGGAGAAACCAAGAAAGGGAACAAGGATAGCAAGGATTTAAAGTCTTGGCCTTTGTGATATTCTTTGCTGGGTGATACTTGGTAGAATAATTAATTTTAATAAGTCTATTTATTCATTTTAAAGAGATTTTAAGTTAAAAACCATGCATACTTGTACCCAAGTAGGTATGCCACTGCTTTATGACTTCCCACTAGGTTGATAATGAGAGAAACATTGATTTACAATTGCATCTGAAGGCAGGAAATGTCGTAATTGTTAGGCTTTTAGATGGAAAAAAAATTTAAAATTGAGAAGAATTGTGAGTTTCCTCTTCCAGAAAGTTGCTGGGAAAATGAAGTTTTCAAAGTACCTTATTTCCACTTGCTTTACCAGGAGAATTTACTGTTCAGTTTGCATAAAATGCTAGGATAATGGTATTTTTAAATGCCAGAAAGGAAAAACTAATTTTTTGAATTTTTAAAAAAGTTTTGATTGAATTGTGCAATATTTATTCTTGGGCTGTTGTTTCCCCAGATTTGTAAAGTCAAGTTTAAAAAAAATAAAATTCCATCCAGCTCTGAATGTATGTCAGTGTGTGCACCTAGTGTGATTGTCGTGCATTAAGGTATGTAACACACTGAGCAGCAATGAAAGGTACAGAAAGAAAGAAACTTTTGCACTGATCACTTTAAAAACCTTGCTGTTGACATCTTCAGGTTTCTGATGTGGCAAGGCAAGCATTTGGCTTTATTCTTGTAGGACATTTGTCAGCTGATGGTTAAAGCTGATGGGTTTTGTAAAATAAAGTAGAGCACAGATTTTTTTCCTGACAATGATTTCTGCTGCTAGAGAATACTTGGTAGAGTATTAGTACAGTGGTATTGCTGAATAATGTCAGATGATCGTGCTTATCTCGTAGTGCTATCCAGTTGTAATTTAAACATCATTGCTCTTATTATGGTATCTAGATAAAAGTCACTGGAAAATTTGGAGTCAAGTTTTGGTGTCAACATAAACCCTCAATGAACTCTGCACGTCCCCATGCAGTAAGGTGCTCTGCTGCTTCGCTGAACTCTCAATAGATTTCCTTTCATTTTCAGGGAGAAGAAGCTGATGATGATGATATATACAATGTGCTCTCCACGTTAAAGAGGTTAACCTCTTTTCACAAGTAGGTAATTTTTTTCCCTCAGAAAATTACTATGTTAATTTTATCATTTCAGTGAGTGTTAGTTGATGCCTAGTGTTAGGAAATGAGAAAATCTACGGCCTGAAATACAAAACAGATTGATGAATGATTAGTGGTATTTGTCGGTATAGCTGTTTGGATTAATCTGAGTGCTTGCTCAGTTAATGCCATTACACAGATTCAATTTGCAAGTGGCATGCCACCCTTTGCACTAAATAAATGCTTTTACGTCCATGAGCATCTTATTAAAAGTCATATTCCCCTGTATGACAGAGGAGGCTTCTTCTCTCTGGCACCAGTGGATGAGGGCAAACCTGTGCTTTGAGCCTCAGCTTAGGAGAGCCCTGGAGGAAGCTGTTTCTCTCAGTTTTTCAATGCCTTTGAGGTATTTCTCCTCAAAATTACAGAAATTATTACTAGTAATATAGTAATAATTAATAGTTTATGGTAAGAGTCTGGAAGAGGTATCCTCTTCCTGCAGACATGCCAGGAATAGTTTATAGTTGAATTGTTGGCAGTGTCTAACTGTGGGTTGCACAGAAACTCCTTCACTAGGTGTGAACCACCTCACTGGAACCAGGCAGCAGCTTTTCAAGGTCCTCCTGCTCTCAGGCCTACAAGCACCCTCATAACTTGGAGAGCAATGTGGAAAATTTCACTTGAACTGTGAATTTTGGAGCACAGCACAAAGACCATCTCTTCCCCTCCCATCAGCTGTAGGAAGGAATTGCTCCTGGTCAGCCAGTAAGAAAGTTTCTAATGCAGATGCATGAGAGCCACAAGTCATTCCTTCCTTATCACAAGATCTAAGAGGACCTTGCTTCTGCCACCTCTTTTATACAAGTTGATTTTAGTGCTTTCATTTCTCTTTTCTTTCTGTGCCCAGTCTTTACTTATCCTCAATTCTGCACTGGATCACTATGAAATGGTGCTGAAGTATCTACTCTTTGTTTCCATTCAACGAGAGTCCCACAGAGATCATTAAATCGTTACTAATTTCCGTAGTGCAGCAGGCTAACACGTGCAAATTAGCTTTTCAGTCTCCCTGGTAACACACTGGAGCCACTTCTGCCTTTCCTGAGGGGATTGGTGAAAGCTATAGTTCACATCCAAGAAAAAAGCACAAATCTTAAGGCTTTTCTGAGAGTCCTCCATATGTATTTTTTTCCTTTAGGGTTCCAAATCTCTAGAGAATTAATTCAGACTATAACGAAATCTTTGTAGAATACCACAGAAATAGCGATCAGAGACACCTACCTTCACCTTCGAAAAATAGGAAAGAGAAAAGAATCAAAGCGTGAAGAGCTGAAGAGCAGCTGTGTATCATTTCTCAGCTGATTTGCTATTTGTAATTATAGTTCAATGGGAATTTCTAATTAATGTCTGCTTTCATATAAAGAAGTAATGAAAGCTTTTCATACTGAATGTTCCATCCAATGTGATTTCTTTGTGAAAGGAAACAATCATATCACCGGAGACAGAATTTTTGCCGTTTAGCTTTGAGATTAGGATCTTAGAACTTGCATTAAGTGTTCTCATCTCAAAGAATGGTGGCTGTTATCTGATACTCTCATTGTCATCTACGGGGAGCCAAAATAAATTAAAACAATGGAAGAAGTTGAAATTGCAGGCTAAGAACTGATACCTTTCAGTTAGATACCTAATAAAGTAGTTGCTGAGGCTTAGAAAAGAAACAAGTCCCTCTCTTTTTCAAGCATGAGAAACTCCACTGTACATGCTTCGTTTCGTTGGTAGGTGCTGCTTCTTCATATTTTAAGGAAAAGAAACCCATCAAGATGGAAAAAAACATGGTAGAGGATTATCAGAAACACCTTCCAGACCAAAAAGCTGCCGTACTGAGATTTCCTAAGCCTGAGCTAATCCTCTTTCTGAAAGGGTCATGGCGACAAAGGGCTTGCAGCGCACTTGTTAGTTCAGATGTTTCTTCAAACAAGGATGTCAGTATTCCAATACAAATGAAAATCATCATTGCAATGTTTCCTTCCAAATTTTCAGAATATAATAATAAATTTTCTTGAGGTCATCTGAATGGAACACCTGAAGTATATACTTGAGCTGATTTTTTTACCACGGTTTCACTGATATTTATAGCATTTTTTTCCTGTCCTTAAGTACATGGAGACAATTTTTCTATACTGACTCCAGCCTAATTCAGCTGAGCTTTCACACGTAACACGTCGGTGTTATAGCAGTTCGTATGCTGCAAAACATCAGCATTTCTTATCTAATTGCTTCACTTAATGCAAGATATGTGAATCTCAAACGTCACCTCCATTACTCTGGAAGTGCCCTTTCATGCTGTCTTGTATACAGAACATTCTTTCACAGTTGGACTGAATTACTCAGAAGTTTATTATGTCCAGAAGTAGAAATGATGATAAATGAAATGTTGGTAGAGAAACTAGACTGTTTCTAGCATAGCTCTTCAAGCCCAAGGTGCAGCTTCTCTGACTTTGTCCCTCTTTAAAAACAAAAGCAGTTTTGTGGGTCGAGAGATCACCTCTTCAGAAAGAAAGTTTTTAAACCACAACAGGAAGTTTTCTAAGCTGCTTATTGCCATGCTTTCAGAAACACTGGGGAACTCTGGTACCTTTACTTCATCTGACTGTTTTCTGGCAGGTGCATGCCCCAGCAGACAGTGCTCTCTATAAGGATGAAAAGAAACCTTTGATGAAATGTTGGGCCCTGTTTTCTGTAATCCTTTAATACCCTCTGACAAGAAAGGGACCAAAGGAAAATTCTGTGTTGTGTGAATTTTCATTCTAGGAGCCTCTATGTCAGTCTGAATCTCTGGGGAAAATTGTATTGTGTCCAAGGAACCTTTATGACTATTGTTTTGATTGCCAAGTAGTTCAAAACATACAAAGGTGCACCAGAGTATGCCTAAATTTATTGTGGAGGCTTTTCTGTAAGGAAGCTCGTATTGAAAAGTCCTGTGCAAATTGTATATAGTTAGAATTTTTCAATTTTGGAAGCTGCAAAGCTTTTCCTGAGATGAGCTGTAAGGCCAAGCTCAGAGCAAAGAGCGAAGGTGCCCCCAGCTGTCAGGGCAATGCAGCGTGGCCCTGGTGACAGCTGCCTGACATGGAGGGCTCCAAAATTAAAAGGCAGAAATGAGACAGTTTTTCCTTTCATATTCTCTGTAGGATAATCTATGCTGATATGTGCCTCTGCACACCAAGGAGATTTTACTGCTTTAATTACAGCACTGTAATTAAGGAGGTACAACTCTGCCTTGCTAGCAACCTCGTGATTTGCTGAAGCAGCATCTATGTGCTTAATATCACTAGTCAGAGGCAGTTCTCTGACAGCATATAATTTATCTAAGAAACATTTTATTTTCATACTTCAGAGACCATCCAGAATCTAAGGCGGGGGGAGCATTTTTACATTTTTGTTCCCTTTTTTTTCAGTTTGCCTATTGTTCTATTCATGGATCTGAATTAGAAGTCAAAATGCTCCTTGACTTGATGACGCAAGCCTACCCTAGAGTTGATACTTCAGTACAAGAGCATTAATTGTTACATTTTCTGTGAAATTTTATCAGTAAGGTTTTCCAGAGCTAACGTGCTCCAGACTGGGAAGCGTTGCATAATGGGGCTTTCAACAGGATCTAGGCATTCCCAGACTTGAGCCTATGTCCACTTTGGATCTAGTGAATTATTCTTTGTGGCTGAGCAGGGTAGTTAATTATTTAAACAAAATCAGGCAGCTCCAAAGCAGGACAGACACAAAGGGGTGAGAAGAGTAAGCTTATCTGGGTGGTCAAGGTGCTGGGATGAAAGGGAGCAGGATGCAACAGACTGCTTTATCTAGTTCAGGCTTGCCAATTTGGGCTGAGTATCCTTGCTTCCAGGTGAGTATTTTAATCACCAAGTTTCTGGTTATTTTGAGGTGGCTTGTACTTTTATAAGCATATTATAAATTGTTTCTAGGTAGCTCATTTATTTCCAGTGCCCAAAAAGTTTGTTCAACCTAAATCTTTTAGTGAGAGAGAATTTTTTTCTTGTGGCCAGTGTGGTGTTCTGTAATTTCTTTGGTATTTCTCAGTTCTGGGAAATGAAAAAAAAAAAAAGCTATATCAGAAGCTGTTGAAGTCTGTAAGGCTGTAGAATGTATGTTGCTAATCTCATTTGTATTCCTCTCACTGGCAAATTAGGTTGGGTACAACTGAAATGTGAAACAATAAATGGGGGGTGGCAATCGCCATCTCTGTCGCATGTGCATGTACATGTACATCACGTTGTCTTATTTTAGATATTTCAGGATATTTAATGATGGTAATATTATTTTTCTCCAAATGATATGGCAGAAAAGATATGTAACTTTATTTTGCCATTTTTCATTCAGTATACATTGCTGGAGTTTGGCTGTAGTTTCTGCTGCAATGCCAGAGAAAATGCTTTCTGGAGTTCTATCAGTGTTCAGGACCAAAGAGGAAAGGTGATTTAGAGGCAACACTGAGAAGGAGCTCCTAGCTACACTTCAGTAACCTTTAAAGATGTATGGTATGCAGAGGATTTATCTCCTCCCTACAAAAATCCCACATAGTAAAACATTATTTCTTGTTTATCAGAAAGCCTAACTTCTGTTTTTAGCAGGGTGTGAACTAACTGTGCGGCTGCTTTGTCAGCAGGTTGTATTGTCTCAGCTTTGCAAAAATACCAAAGCTGGCTGAGCTGCCAGGTCAGACTGTGTTCCTGCTGTCATGTGGAGTTTTGAGGAACACAACTAATCTCTCCCTGTTCCCTCTTGTTCTAGTGCGCACGATCTCACAAAATGGGATTTGTTCAGTAACTGCTACAGATTGCTAAGAACTGGAATTGAACACGGAGCTATGCCAGAACAGGTACAGTTCACAACATCTGCACTGCGAAGCATTTAGGGATTCAAAGTTTTGAAGAGTGTAGTTGTAGAGAAATCTGAATGATTAATGCACTAGACTTCAGTTATTTAGGAAAAACATGGAGTTTTGAATGAAATTTATATTGTAGTGAAGCACCGTCTATCTGTAAACTAATGTTCCTGGCTGTGAAAAGCAACGCATAAATCATGAGGTTTACACTGAAACCCAACTTTTTTAAACCTTGGCTACAATTAGAATTATCACAAGTGATTATTGTGCATCAAAGATAAGATAGAAGCTTATGAAAACCAGAAAACAAGAAGAACATTTAGCAGGAAAAAAACCTTACCAGTGGAGTTCTTGTAGTGGAAATGTCTTGGACTTAATTTTCTTGTATAGTTTCTCATGGCTGAGCACAGGACCATTTCACGTTCTCCCAGGATTCCTGTTTAAATTGCAGATTGTCTTCTCCAACATTTCAGTGCATTTTAAGTTATAATTTGATTTCAATTAGAAGACAATTAGAATTCTAACAACTTCATTTAGAAAAAAAAAATCTCGCAAAAGTATTTTCTAAAAAGGACCATATTCCACACACCATGTGAAAGTCATGGCTTTAAGGTGTGGGGCCTTCTGCTCTCTCTGCAGTTCATACTTAATGCTGGAATTTTGCTAACTGGAGGGAGGGAGCCAGCAGATAAATACTGTCCATGCAGCTACCAGCCATCTCCAGTTTCTGAGTTGGACAGTGAAGTGGCTCCCCAAATACTTCTGTAAGATCTTGGGGGAAAAAATATCTGAAATCTGACCTGTCTTCAGTATTTCTTCCACCAGTCCACTAGAAGGAGTTTGCTGAAAAGGAATGGTTTAGTCTTTAGTGATATCTTTCAAAAAAGTATTTTGTAGAAGTGATTGTTGGAAGCAAAAAAGATTTTGAAATTTGTAGCACCTAATGCAGATTTGAAATTTTAAGAAGACACTTCTCCATGAGAAAAATTGTATTTTCTCACTTTTTTTAGAAATTGGGCTACATGTTTATTTGACAACAGAACAAATTTCCAGGCTGTATTCGTAGTGAAGTCAGAGTTAAACTCAAGCTTTTGAACCAAGATGTGTAGATGTTAGGTTGTATTTCTGTCATGCTGTGGCACCACCTCTTGCTGTACTCTAATACGGTTTCCTGTTCTGTTTCGCAGAACTTATGCAGTATTTTTTTCACCTGTAGTGGGTGGTTTCTTATTGCACCAAACTAATTAAGGGAAAACATAATATCCTTGAAAACAAAAAGTACCACCTGAGAGCTGCTCCTATTTCTTGTCCTCAGAATGTGTTATAAATTTTTCATACATTTTACCGATCTGCTTGATATTTCCAATGGGCTGGGATTCTTTGTGTTCCCTCTGTTACAGATAGTTGTTCAGGCACTGCAGTGTTCCCATTACTCTATTCTCTGGCAGCTGGTGAAAATCACTGAAGGCTCCCCTTCCAAAGTAAGTAGCCGTTTGATCATACAGATTTTACTGGAGAAACACACCTTGTCTAAAAAGCCATTAGACTTGATTCTCTTGTGACACCACCCACTGTACTGTCATCTTTTGTTCTTGTGAAACTGGTAGAAAATGTTGGTGTTTTGATTTATTCAGTATTTCAGGATCTGTTTAACATCATGCATGTGTCTAAATAAGCTATACAAACCGAGGAAGGTTTTTTTATCAGGATTTTATATGAGCTGATTTTTGTGTTTCTAATGCTGAAGATAATTAATGGACTTTACGGTGAGTCCAGCAGCTTGCATGAATGGCTCAGTGATGTTGACAGTGCTTACCGAATAGTTGTCAGCAGTGCTGCTGGTCTCTACACTTTACCTTGCTTCCCTTTTACTTACATCTCTTATGATGATGAATGTATATCTAAGGTAACTAGCAGTGACGATTATTAGTAAAAATAAGTGCAAGCGTAATGTATTAAGGACAATATCCCATGTAACTTGTTCATCATACATTTTTTCCAGAAGCCTTTCTTAGTTCTTTTCTCAATCAGAGGCCAACATCCTGCCTTTTTAGGGCTTTTTCAGAAGTAATACATCAAATTAAAATGGCATGAAAACCAAAGTACGCTTGTACTTCCCCATCAGCATCAAAAAGACAAAGATCTTATACTAAAGTACTACTAAAATAAGCATTTTATACACAAAAAAATATAAAAATAGACTGTAAATTCTTTGACTTGTTTTAAATACTGACGTATATTGACATTTATTAAATAGCTGCTAGAATTGGTATTGCTTATTTGGGCCTTCATTCACATTTTACCCCCTTGGCTTTTTTCTCTTTAGCATGCTGGTATTATGTGACTAAGAAAACTGAATGCATCCCATTTGTTTTAAATAAAGTCAGAATCGCATCACAGTAAGGCATCTGAAGTCCTCCTAGCTAGTAGCATTATCCTCAGGGAGAAATTTCACTTTGATGGAAGGAGCTGAGTAACTAAAAGTAAATCCTGAGCCCTTAAGGTGCCTGATCTAGTCGAGAGGTGACGTGCCTGGCGGCAGGGGGGCTGGATTAAATGATCTCTAAAGTCCCTTCCAGCTTAGGCCATTCTATGATTCTATGAAATCAACACACTAAATCTCGTTCTAATGCCTCCCCAGTAAGGAAAACTGGTTGGTGGTTACCTGTTTAGTGAGTGACTTTGGTGTGAGGGACCAAGCACTTACAGCACTTTGGTTGACTCTCCAAGCCTGAACACTGTCTTCAACAACTTTATTAAATTTTTGCTGTGTGCTCTTGACTGTTGGGTCTTGCTGAACATCTTACACACTCCTTAACGTGCCCCACAACTCTGTCCTTCTACTTGCTGGGCCCCTTGAGCAGCAATGCCCAGTCTTGCCTTACTCTTGGGGTGCAACTTCTGAGACACAGAGCGTTTGGTAGTATTCTCTTCTCCCTTCACTGCATTTCTCTGGGTTTTTTTGAACTAAATACAGTAAATTGCTGCAGTATAATGTAAATGGTGCACAGGGATAGCTGTCGCATTGCTGGGGAAAAAAATTCATATATTCCTGTGTCTAAATTATAGTAAAAGAAACATACTTAGCATAAACTACAGCTAATGACTAACATCCACAGCATCTGTCTGCATAAGACCTGTCCAGATGCTCTACATTTTGATGTCATAGTATGAATATAGAATGTTTTTTTCAGTATTACTGTGATGGTCCAGTTAAACTGAAAAAATTTGTTTCACTGACTGTTTTTTTCTGGCAGGCAAGCTTAGTGCAATTGTGTGGCCTTGCATACTTTTTCAAAATAGGATGCACTTGTATGAGACATTTTTTTGAGGTGAATGCGAAATAGCCTTGGTCTTTTGTGTATTTCTAATTCTGTTCTGACTCATGTTAAGTCATAATGCAGTTCATAGGAATGGAAAGAACTACGAAAGCTCCATCAGGAATGACCGTTCAAAGTACAAGTCAGTTCTGCTTCTGGAATCCCCATCGAAAACTACTGCTCTAACCTAGAGGACTGTTACTAACTTACTGTTCCATATTTCACCCCACCCCCTACAAAAACAGCGAGTGTTCTGCGTGCTTGGTTCAAGAGGAGCGCGGCAGTAACACTCCTCAGCTCTTCACACCTGGCCAGCAACCTCAGCTCTGCTCATGACAGGGATGGATAAAGAGAAATCCACAAACCTGATGCAGTTGTAATGTTTTGTTCTGCGTGGTTTTTAACCTATCAAACTTGTGGCTATAGATTGTTCATAGTGGAAATAAATCTCGTCTACACTATATCTGCCGGTTAATCCATTGGGATTTTGCCCATGATTTAGGCTTATAAATTAGCAGGCATTAAGGGGGATCACTTCTAAAGTATGATGTATGGGAAGACAAAGGGATTAATACAGGCATCTCAAAATGCAAAGTAGTGTGTTTCCTGAGTGTTTTTGAAGTATTCAGACTTTTACAGGACCATTTCTAAGACAGTATTTTAATACATAGGTCCATCCAACTTTCTAGTGCTACTTTGCTGTAGCTTCAATGGTGTAAGGACAGAGGGAGGTGATGGTTTGTAGGCTGAAGTGCTATCTTTAGTGGACCAATGGATATAGCTCTAAAAATTAGAGAGGCTTTTGGACATGCAAGCCTCTCAGCTTTGAAATAAAAGCAAAAGATTGCAAAGCAAAATAGAAGCTGAAAACAGTTGTTTGCTTTCTCTTTAGAATACAAATCAGGTAAGCCTTCTCTGAAGGAAAAGGAAAAGGTCTTTGGTATCTGTGATGGGGCGGGAGCAGGGGAAGGCAAGGTGGCAAGACAGTTACTAGAAGGGAAATAGGAGCTGCATAGTGGGAAAGAGATGAAAGATGAAAAGGCTAATGGAGAGAAGGGAATTCATAATACATCATAAAACTAGTCCTGAGTCCTTATTTTTCCCTTAGATTTATGAATTTTTGTTCCTAGGCTTGCATTTAGATGATTTTTTTCCTTTTTTTTAGATTTCCCTTGAGCTGAGTGATCAGAGATGGAGGGATTGATTTGTAAGAAATGTTCAGCTGCTGCCATCTGGGTCATTTGTGTGAGCTCATGCTGGCAAACAGTAGCCGCCCTATTTCACCTCAGTAGTTACCATGTAGGCATTCCTTGCACAGGATAAAGTGTATTAATATTTTGAAAATGTAAGTACAGGATGCAGGGGTGTAGATGTTTCTGTGGGAGGAAGTATCTTGCTTGGTAAAATAGACAAATTTTAAGTTTCTTAATCAAGTATGCTCTGCATTCATCAGGTGTACCTTTCATTGCAGGGAGTTTGCAGGTAGGGTGGGTGATTCTGTTAAGATTTCTTTCAAAGTGAGTTCTTTGAAAAAGAACTCAAAATTGCTTAATAATTTGGTGTATTGGTTCTAGAGTAGAGTCATACATGACAACCCGGGGTATACTATTGGGACCAGAGTCTTTCTCAGAATCAAGTTACTCTTTATCTGGTATTCAGATGGCTCTCTTCGAAGGATTGTCCTTGTTTGGAAACTGTCCCGGGCATTATGCCCAAGCCCAGGGCAAAATTATTGCTTTTTGAGGATACTTTGTATTAGAGTTGTTAGGTGTGTTTTGCATTATGGCTGACTACGTGAGACTAGGTGTGTTGGTCTACAGGCTTTGTGTGTGTGTCAGGGGAAATCTGATTCTTGCAGTTTAAATCGAATTAGGATCAAGTCAGGTCAATGATTGATTAACAACACATAAGTTACCTGCAGTCAGCGCAACACATCTCAAGAATAAGTATCAGCTATACAGCAGGTAAGCCAGAATACCAAATGCTTAAATCCTTCAGGTGGCTTCCAGCAGGGATGATGTGCCACCAGGCCTGGGCAGTGGTGGCAGTGCTGGGGTGTCTGACTGGCTCTGTTCCAGCCCAAGGCTCCTCTCTGTGATCACAGTTTTTCACGTTACTGTCATACTTCTCGACGAGGTGACTCCTTCTTTTCTCAAAAGTTTCTTGCTAATCTCCTGGTTACTGTTCAACCTGGTCACTTAAAGCAAATTCATTGTTGACGCTTCTCTTGGCATGGTCAGTTTTTTGCCAAACACTCTGTCAGAACAGGTAGTGACAGGTGTTTTGTTTACAGGCACTGTTGCACTCATGTTCTCATCCTAGGCACTGTTGTTTACCCAGGCTGTTACCGAGAGAGTGCTCTGCAGATTTCCCACACACTGTGTAATACGATTTACAGATTACAATTTTGATTATAGAGCTTGAGGAGATGATATCAGCATAAAAGTTTGAATGACATTTCAGTAGAAGGGTGATAGCTACTGATCAATTGAATTGGTAAGAAAGCCCAAAGACAGATAGGAAGAAAAGCATTGGGTTTGGTGGATGAACTGAGGAAAAGCACAGCATTTCTAAATGGCTTCGGTGGAAAAAACAATTTTAGATAGCACTCTTGTGAACGTAGTTGTTCAGTTAGAGGTGGTGGCTGGCAAAGGCCATACAAGTCTTGCTCTTACTGGCTTATTCTGTTTCCTGCCATGAACTAGTTAAATTTTAAGATCTTACACTGTACGGTTCAAGAAAGAGTTGTTTTTATCCTGGGTCACTTTAGCAATCCAGGTTCCCAGTGTGACCCCATGGTTTTACGCTAGCAACCCGGAGGACAGTGAAATTTTTTCATACTAATTTTTCTGCTGAAGCCGCCATATCAGGTAGTCGCACTCAAAGAGCCTTGGCTGTGTGCCAGAGAATGGTAAAAGACTTGAAAATCTAATTCATCTTTTTTCTTCTCATTTTCTCTTTTGAAAAAAATTACTGCTCTGTATAGGAGTCTGGGGATTTCTCCAAAGTTAGAGAAGTTCCAGATGACTCTGTTGCACTGTTCAGTCAGACTTTCTTCTGCTGTCTGTATCTTTTCAAAATGAATCTTCTTAATGCTATCAAGAGAGAGGATGATAAATAATGTGTGTCTACATGTTACTCATTCTTTGATAGAAAGAAAAATGAGAGACACTGATTCACTTTTTAGCCTTTATATAGGATTTTTCATAGGATTTCGTTTCTCTGTTGAATTAATTAACATCTAAAGGGAAGGTAATTGTGATAGAAAATAGGAGGTTATTAAATTGTAATCACAGTGTTTAAAGGTGTAAATCAGGTGCTTATGTAACAGTGAACTGATAAGCCTGGCATCAGTCCTAGGTAAAATCTTGGACTGGCTGATAGAAAACAGTCAGAACAAGCCTGAAGGACAGAGTGAATGTGACCAATAGATAAGACTGGAAGGAACAAATAAAGTTGTGCTTGAGAAGATTGCTTTTTTGATGGGTAAAGAAACCACTTGAAATAACAGTTTCTGCAAGATGTTAGTGCCCCATTGCATTTCAGGTGAATATGGGAATTTATTGTAATTCGTATTCTATAGCTCAAAGCTGATTAATATGTTAAGAAAAAAGTAATAAGTGGGAAGTCTTTGCATGGTGGGATAGCTTCTGGTGCATTCTAGGAGAGATCCATTCTCTGCTAAAAACTGATAATTTTTACTAATCATCAGGTAAGGTAAGGTGAAGGCGTTTAAAATGTGGATGATACAGATAAATTGATAAACAAAATACAATTAAAATAACAAAGAGGTGTTTTAATGCTGCCAAATAGAAGACTCGTATCCGAGAACAAGAAAGCTGATGGATGGAATGTCGTGACTTAGAATAGAGCAGAATTGTCTTACGGATTGTGTAATGGCAGGGTATTGTGGTGGCACAAGGGATTCTTGGCTTTGTGTTAAAGGTTAGGGCAGAGCCAGCCACTGAACACAGAGAGATGCTCTCTAAACCCTCCTTCCCCCAAACGGGAAAGGAAAGGGAATAAGACAGAGAGCCTTAATGATGGGAAAAGAAAACTAAACCAGCTTGAATAAAACAATAATAATACTAATAAGGAAATAATGAAAACAATGAAATATATACAAATACACACGAAACTGATATTGAACCCGACTCCCTGCCCCAGAAGCCATCATCACTAGTGCTGCAGAGCAGGCAGGCACCAGGCCAGTCCCAGGCTCAGAGGAGAACCAGACCCAGGAGCTTGATTTGGGTGTTTGATTTGGCACTCAGGATCAGGATCAGAGGCAGGAGAATGGACAGAGTTCTCCTCAGATGCCAGCTGTTGAAGAAGAGGAAGAACAAGAGAGCTTAGCCCTTATGATCTCTCAGCTTTATCCATATATGGAATTGAACACACTTTTTCATCACTCCTCCTGTCCATTCCTCCCTTTTACTTCCCCACACTCCCAACGTGGCACACAAGATCCAGCAGTGACCTTGGTCACTACAGGAGCAAGTATATGCAAGAGCCTTTCTGCACACCAGCCTGTGGTAGTAACTATAAACGTCAGGCATTATCACTTCTGGTAGCAGACACTCTCTGCAAAAACACGCTGCTAACTTCAGAAAGCGCAGGCCTTTAGAAGAGACTGAGCTGAAAAGTAGAATCAGTGAACAGAGTTGGTTCTGTTTAGCTCAGACCAGGACACTGTATTATCGGAGAGAAATTTATCAGGAACAGGAAAGTGAAGTGGCTCATAGACCTTCGGTGTCTGTACTGGAAAATCACATTCCCTGTTTTGAAAATTATAAGAGGTTCAGAGATTTAGGAATGCTTGGGGTGCTTCGGCACGCTTGCAGTCATGCCTTCTGCTGTGAACCAGTATGGGAAGAACATATGGACCACAAAAAGGCTTTTCAGTAAACAAAGAATAACAAGATCTTATGATGGGAAGCAATAAAAAAAGCTAAAACTAGAAATGAGACACATGGGCTGAACAGCTAGGATAATTAAAAATTGGAATTTTTACAAGGACGGTGTTGCATGTATCCTATGTAAATTCTTTGGATTTAGGTTGGATGTTGCTCTGTAGGGCACACTGTCTGCTGTCTCAGAGCTGATAATTGTGGAGGACAGCCTGCAGGAGCAGCAGGCCAGCAGTGCTGGTGCGAGCTGATGGCTGTTACCATCCCTTCTTTACATGGAGCCAGTGGTGGTGATCCCAGGGAAGGAATGGGTCTTCCAGGCAACGCTCTCAGGTGCACGTCAGCAGCGGTGCTGTCTGTGGGGCCCTGGCAGAAGGGCTGCTTACCCCAGCGGCAAGTCCTGGCTCTTCACATAGGAGTGTTCTTGTTCTGCTGTAGTTGATTTGCCCTCTCCATGTGGCTACTTGCTGTATCCTTATGGTTGTGCTCCAGTATCTTACATTTTGATTTATTTTCACTAGTTCATCTTGCTATCCGTAAAACATAAGTATTTATGGGAGTTCATCATTAATTCCTTCAGGTACAGAGCTTTCCTATCAAACTGGCTGCTTAGACCGGTGGTTTTTTCCAGGACGAGCCTCATCCCTTGCACTCTGAGTGTGCTGATTCCAGCGATTTGGCAGTGCTGGGTTATCAATTGGATGTGATCTTAAAGCTCTTTTCCAGCCTAAACGATTCTATGATTTTCCCAAATATGGGAACATATCAGTTGTCTGTGGATCAAGGTGACCAAGAACACCTTTGCCACTCACAAATTCTTTTTGCTCCAGATTAACAAACCTCCCTCCTTCCATAACTCATCAGATTTCTGTGATTTGCCTTCATTTCCTACATCTGCAGCTGGTTGGGATAACGTTTTTGTTGAACTTGAGATATTAATTGGTATTTTATTTGTTCATGTTGATTTATCTGAGTACAGAATTCTTCATAAACCACCAAGTAGGCTGAACTTGGTGTGTTGAACTTTCAATTCTGAAACATTTAGAATGTATATTCAATTTAAAATACAGACAATTTAACTCAGGAATGTATTGTTTTCTTATTATTATTTATTACAGGGAAACTTTGGGTCATTTGTATGAAAATTAATGACTTGTTTTACTCTATGCATATGAATAGCACATTTTTTCATAGCCTTTTTTGTTTGGCTAATTTTTAGGATTGAATGTATGAAATTATCACCATTTTCAAATTTTGTTTTTTCCTACCAACCTTTTATTAATATTTGTATATTATCCCTTTTTAATGTTTATTCTAGGAGGACTTGTTGGTATTGAGGAAAACTGTGAAATCCTTTCTAGCTGTCTGCCAGCAGTGTCTATCAAATGTCAACACTCCAGTCAAAGAACAGGTAAAGGAGATGTCTGTCCCATGGTTTTAGAAAAGTGTGAATATTAAACAGTAGTAAAACTGAATACGACACTATATCAAACTTAAAGTAAAATCATCTGTGCCTTTTTTCTAAATAAAACTGAACAAACACTCCATAAGAAGAGCTGTATTAAAAGCACCTTCAAAACTCAACTAATGGCAAATTCATTTTTGTTATAACGGTAAGGATTAACTGGATGCTTAGGCTCATGTTCAGCTGTCGTAACTTGAGGCATCTCACTCAGTCACCTAAAATAAGTCTATTGCTTTAGACACTTACTGTATTAACGGAGAGAAATCAGCATTTTTAAAGGATGACTGAGACCTCAAACAGGCTGAATCTTTCTCTGTATATTTCTGGGGTTTTTCCCCTGTTGTTGATCAAAGGGCAGTCTAGAGTGATTGCTTTCCTGCCAAAGGCAAATGCCTGAAGCCTTGATGATATTTCATTATTTCGTTACCCTAATAATTCAGTGTATAATAGTGTATAATAATAATAATGTAGTGGTGAATACTAATTACTGTATCTCTTTGCCATTGTGGCTAATGGGAGAAAATTGAGGCTTCTAGCAGTACAGGTCATACTACTGCATATTTTCTAGCAGAACAAAAAGTCAATTTATTTTACAAAAATACTCTGAATAACACTGAAAATGTAGTGTCTTCTCACACTGTACAAAAATCGTCACTTCACAAATAGTTATATCTCTTAGAGAAATCAGAATAAAATATCTATTTAAACAGTGTCTTCATTACAGAAATATAAAGGTCTGGAGGGTTTTTTAGACTCCCATCCATGGAGCCATCATAGCTTAGGTTGCTTCCCTGTGTGGTAGGCTGGCTGAAAACCCACGTGCATAAATCTCTTGGCATGTGTATGTGTGCGCACACGTATGCCAAAAGTACATACGTGAAATACGATTGCCTAAGCAGGTGTCAGGTTCTTTTGTGGCTCAGTGTAGTTATCCAGTTCTCTGGTTTAGATTTTTGGAAAGCCACGCATGCATGGAGTGGGAAGCTTCTGCTGTATGTATTTAGAACGTGAAATAAAATTGAAGGGCTTGGTGAAATAATTTGCAGTCTCTGAAAAAAACCCACTTTACAATAGCTGGTTTGTTTGCTGAGATTTTATGAATATATGCTGATTTATATCAGGTCTGTAATATCCTTTAGCTGTCTAAAAATTGCATTTCTATCAGACCTCCCAAGATTTTGCAAAGACTGTAACTAGATGGCTTGTGGGTTTTGCCTGTATTTTTTAAAAGATAATGCTTCTTAAAAGACAAGTTTACATTTTTTTGAAAGATAGCTCTGCTTGGCATTTGCACTGTGTTCTCCAAGTTGATAAATATGAATATTAAAGACTCAAAGTTGTTGCTAGTTTATGTATTTTTAAAAGACTCTGACATGTCATTGTCTTCCAGCAGATTTAACTTGAGTAATTGTTTTTTAATATTCTGAGTAGTTACTCTTGGCATATTTTATTAATAATAGGAAAATCTCATCTGGCTTCATGGAAATACTGACCATTCTAGCTTAAGATGGCACTAAGGTCTTTTCCTGCAGCAACAAGTAGTAAATAATCCTTCCCACTGCTGTAGTGTTTTTGTTCTTGATATATATTAACATGTTTATATTCTCTTCTTTTTTGTGGCCACAATTTTTTTTTATTTGTAATTTAAATTTTTCTTAGAAGCTCCCTTGCCGTTCGCAATTCTTTGTGAGCTTTTGAGCCTCAGCTAGACAAAGCCATGACCAGCCAGACCTAGAGACAGCAAGCGTCGCAGTCAGAGTAGGCTGGGGTAGAGAATCCAGAGGTTCCTTCCAACTGCTATGATCTTTTTAATTTTCCACCTTAAAAAATGTATTTCTGTGAGTGCAGGAACTCCTTCTTAATCCTTTTGTTTTACTGGATTTTTTTTTTGACAATTCTATGTAAGTTATATTATTTCCCTACCATATTTGATTCTTAATCTACACATTATTTCCAGAGGTCAATGTATATATCAAAGAAGGAAGAACATATCAGATATTTATAAAAACAGGCCTCAAACAATTCGAATTTTCCTAGACTATCCGAGTGAAATAATTCTCCTGTGACTAGATGCATATACAGTATGTGGTCATCTATATCTGAGTCCCCTGCTGCCTTTATATTGGACAGAAATAAGTGCTTTCAGTCCATTATTCATGGGCCTTTTTTAGAGCTCTATATTAGAATTAATTTGAATTCTATCAAGTATCAAAGGAGTTTAGAGCAGGTGAGATCATCACTGAAATGAATCACAGCTTTTTGGATCCAGTGGAGAAAACCCCCAAACAGTGGCAGCTGTTTCCAAAGCCAAAGTACAACATAGTTTACAAGGATTTGTATTTTGTTCTTGCCTGAGTATAGCTCATTCAGATTTTATAACGCTCCAGGAAATAAGTGAGCTGCTGTGACGTTCAGCATTCACGAAGATTTCATTCTGGAAGTTTGTAAAGCAGATTGCTCTCACTCACTGGTTTTACTTAGGCTTGGTTCAAAAACATGTTTAAGCATGTAGTTAACTGTCTTTCTGTTCAGCCTTTTGTAGAGGGGGAGTATAGGACTGAATTTCATGACCCTGTCAGAGCTATTCCGCAATCTCTCTTCCTTTGCAAACGTCTGACCTACCCCCTCCCTGGAAGCGGTGACTTACCCTGCCCTGAGTGAGGCTCCTGCAGCCTTCTCGGGGAAGAGACAGCCCATCCAGCACGTATCTTCTAGGGGCCTTTCTACACCTTCATACCCTGAGCCTTCCTCTCATTCTCAGCTTTCAGAATTTGAGGTTGAAGCTAGCCTAAGAAGATTAAAAACTACTTTCTGAAAGGTGCTCAGGTGTTGACTGTAATGCAGATCAATGCAGCTGGCTGTGACACTCCAACACAAGCCATTGGGGAAAATAGTATTTTTCCCGTGAATGAGAGTCTACAGATAAGCCCTTGAAAGAAATAAAGTTAGTAATAGCTGCCTCCTTTCTCTATTCTCAGGTAACAAGCATATAATAATAATGAGCATAAATCATGGAAAATTCACCATTGATTGGCTCGTATCTAGATTTGGAAGCTGTGCACACTTACTTGATTCCTTTTGCAGAGAATTATTGATGAAATTCTGCAAGAATTTCTTCGCTTACAGCTATCTCTTTGTATTTTGGGGATCTGACAGTGACTCAGCTTGGATTTTCCCTCATAACATTGTTCATTTTTTTGCATGTTTTTACTTTTCTAACCCTTTATCAGAAGAGGTGTTTTTTCTTTACTACAAATTTACCTACAGTCCTTGGATCAGAGGTGAATTTAGAGTTCTTTTCATAGAAAAGAAATGGAAGTTTAATGTGGATCATTCTGGACAAGGAAGAGGTAGGAGACACAGTTCCTTACAGAGGAATCAAAGGCTTGACATGTTGAAGTTAGGGGAAGCCCTTATGAGCACTTTTCACAGCACACAAACAACTACAACTGAGTAAAATTAAAGAAGGATATTTAATAATAGCAGAGGATATCTGGAAATTAGATAAATGGTATCGTATTTTTTACTTATTATGCTTTAAGTGGTGAAGTCACCATCCCTGGAGGTGTTAAAAAAATATGTAGATGTGACGCTTCAGGGTTTAATGGTCATGGTATAACTGGATTGATGATTGGACTTGATGATCTTAGAGGTCTTTTCCAACCTTAATGATTCTATGATTCTGTGAGTGCATTCATCCTCTTTTGCCTTTCAGGCTTTCATGCTGCTCTGTGATCTCTTGATGATTTTTAGTCATCAGCTGATGACTGGAGGTCGAGAAGGTCTTCAGCCCTTGGTGTTTAATCCAGATTCAGGTCTCCAGTCAGAACTTCTCAGTTTTGTGATGGACCATGTCTTTATTGACCAAGATGATGAAAATCAGAGCATGGGTATGTTTAGCTTTCATGTTTTCTACTTAGCTTTTTTTTTTCATAAAAGACACAGAAGAAAGAACAAAATAGAATTTTCAGATAAGTTTGTTCAACTGTTTTCAGAATTATTCCGTCTTTAATTTTGGGAGCTGTGAATATGGAGTACTCGATATTGACTACTACTTTTGTTAAAAAAAGATAAGTACTTAAAAAGTTCACTTCATAAAAACAGATGTTTTCAGAAGACATGGAGTTCTACTGTAACTGCATGCTATAAATCCAGACAAAACTATTATTCCTTTACTGATCTAAGTTTTCCTTTACTTCCAAAACAATACAATCTGAGTTCAGCAACAAACTTTGTTTAATATGACTTCAAGGGAAGAAATATGATGGAACAGTACATAGAAGAGAAATCCTGTAGACTTACTAAATTGAATTATAGGATCCTGAAGGCAAACCTTACCAGCAAAGCTCTAGCAAAGAAAGCCTTAAGAAACTCTGATGTTACTAAATAAACATCCCGTCTGCTCATCCCCCAAAATAATCAAATCAAGCTCAAGATATCCTTGATTTGGTTGGAGACTAGGAAAGTACTTGGGAAAGTGTCATGTATGCTTGCTTGCTTCCTCGCCCTTTCCTCAGCATCTGTTCATGGCCACGCTTTGAGAGTCACAAGGATGACGTCACATTTTTGGCTTTCAGTTGGGGAGAGGCAGATTTGGCATTTAGGTCTGGTTTTAAATAGTTTGGTGCTGCTGATGTGTGTTATAAATGCCTAAATACAGGTACAGAGGTATCCAGTTTCTGAGTGTTTCCTAAATAGCTTTGGACAAGAGATGAATTCCCAGATGGTCAAGCTATGTGGAAGAGCTGCTGACGGCATACTGTAGTGTTGTTCTTTGTCACATTTTCTGAATTTCCACTGTACTCAGTTAGTCGTATGCTAGCGTGACACATGGTACTATTTTAAATCTTTTAAGACAGCAATATATGGAACTAAGGTCTCAGGGAATGTTTTCTTGCTCTAAAGGCACTTTCCTAGCTCCTCAGTAACTAACATCTTCGTTGAACATCTCTTTAAGGATTCCTGGGGAGAACACATTTTGAAACACAGCTTCACCAGGAAGCTATGTGCAGTTAATCATAATTTCTGAGTTCAATGTTCAGAATAATGCATCAAGGGTAGATTTTAGTGTTTAATTTTTTTCCTGCTCTTTAGCCAAATTGCTGGTCTTTAACCTCCTGTGATTTAACAGGGAAGACAGTAAAAAGATGGATAAAGATCTTCATGTATAATTTCTGTTCCCTAGTGCTACTCTGACTCCATTAAGTCAGTCTGACCTTTGTAACCTTTGGTATTCAAAACAGATCAGTAGTGATAGAAAGAAATTAAGAAATGGGGAGGATTGTGCTAATGGGCTTCAGTTCTGTGGGTTAAGGCTTCTCAGGATTAAAATGGGCATGTATATCCACAGTGAGCTCCACTACTCATAAGAGATTCCCTGTGATCAAATACATTATTCAAGTACTGTGGCTCTGTGGAGACTCCAGTATGAGTGCAGCAAGAGTCGCAATGACACTGTGTCCGCCCTCCTCCTGCCACAGCTCTGTTCTGCTTCAAACTGGTCGGAAGATTCCCTCCAAGAATAAGCTCTTATAAAAACCACAGGAGATTTACTTTTATCGTAACAGTTACAGCTGATTTAATTTTCTTATATAAGTTGTGGAATATGCTTTTATATGTAGTATTATATTTACCATTTTATGTGAATAATTTCATTTTTACTCAAATGGTGAAATGACATTAATGTTTCTCACAGCTGAATTTTACTTCCTGTTGTTATTGGTGCTTTAGAGCCATCAGCTTCATACCTGAAGATCCAAGGCATGCAGTAGAACTATTGCTGCTTCTCATTTTCCTTATATGAACTATTTATGTCTTTGCCATGTTAATGGAGCATCTCCAAGTGTCCTGTGTTTCAGAAGTTAAGCAAAAAGCATTCAACAAGTCTTCACTGGGGCCTTTCACAGAGTAAAGATTATCTTTGGTACCTACTCAGGACTATAGATAAGGTCCTTGGTCGATGGTCTATCTTGTTCCTCAGCTTTCCTGACAGTTGTAACATAGGCAGGACTCAAGAATTATCACCTTTCATTTTAGCTTCTGCGACAATCCTTGTTTCGTTTTAAAGAATTGATTTTTTCTGAACTCTACTCTTTGATAACATTGCTTAGAACACAGCAGTTACTTATAAACATTTTTATTGTTGTTGATGCTTTCAGAGGGAGACGAAGAAGATGAAGCTAACAAAATAGAAGCTTTACATAAGAGAAGAAACCTTCTGGCTGCCTTTAGCAAGCTGATAATTTATGACATTGTGGACATGCATGCAGCAGCAGATATCTTCAAGCACTATATGAAGGTCCAGCTCTGAGTATTCTCCTCTTCCTGACTGAACACAGACTGTCATGTCAGGGCCCCTCTCCCAGCACAGTAGTTAAAGACTGAACACTTTGGAAAGCTCTTTCCGCCTTATTAAATTTTTTATAAGAGTTTTTCCTTTCTAAATGATACCTGCCCACTGAGAAGCAGTAAGCTTCCTGTCCTGAGTAGCAGGACCAAAAGCAACACCTAGACTTGGTCCTGCAAGGTGCTGAGTATTTCCAGAGAGGCTCCTCTCCACGGACACTTTATTGTCCTGCTCCTCAAATTCATTCCTAGAACCCACAATAACAGTTACCTCCTATTTCACTGGGAGTCTCCCAGTCTTAGTGCTTGCCGTAAGGAAGCAGATTTTTTGTGAGAGAAGATAACAGGAAAGCAGTAAAAGAAAAAAAAAAGCTGTGTGTAGTACTGCTGTCAGTGGCTACACATTACCAATTTACACTGCTTCCATACAGTGTTTAGGCCCAAAAACCTCAGAAAGATGTGCTCCTCAGCTACCAGTGCCCCCTGCACTTGTGAGTTTACCTGCCAGAAAAGAGGCACATTAGCAGTCCTGACACTGCCAAGGAACACAGAGCCCCTCAGATGATCCTGATTTGGCAGGTATCTATGTCACCTGTCTCTCTGTAAGGGATTAGTCATCAAGGATTTAGTTTGGGGTAGGAAATACTCTTTTGTTTGTTTTTCAACATATTCATTAGAAAATATAATAATAAATACAGAAGTCCCTTACCTTGTCACTGGGTGCAAGACACCAACCAGTTCAAATTTGGTTATTGAAACATTGCCTCCCACCCACAAAGAAATCTGGATTTGAGATGAGGCGTTTGGCAACTGCTGCCTTTTCAAAAAAAGAATTACAAGTAATCTTCATATCAGGAAAACTGTAAGAAATTGTATAAGAGGTTCAATTTAAAAGTTTTTTCCACTTTTTTTTCCAGTACTACAATGACTATGGAGATATCATTAAGGAAACCCTGAGCAAAACAAGGCAAATTGATAAAATCCAGTGTGCGAAGACACTCATTCTCAGTTTGCAGCAGGTAAGAATATTGATTTTTCCTAGAAATGCCTCACTGCAAATATTGCTGGACAGGATTTTCTCTGGTGCCCTTTACAATGAAGGGAAAATGCTACACTTGTGTTAAGAGATTATCTTGTTCCTCAGTTCAGGCTGTCACCGTTCATTTGTCTCAGTAACCTCAGTCTCCTTAAGCCCGCACTGGCAAAGTCTTGATCAGAAAGAGAGAGAAGACCCTTAAAGGCAATTTTGGTCCAAGTTGATTCATAGCGTTTGTTTACTGGTACCTGGTGAGCAAGAAGAATTAAGATGACTTTCTCTTCTTATAATTAGCTGAAAGTAACGCATCTTCTTTACATTTTGTCTAAATACTGATTGATTTTTCAAACTTCCAAGCTAATGAGTTTAAGTCTTCCAACATTGTTAAGCATGCTTTTTCCCTGAAAAAAAAAAGCTTTACATCAACCATAAATTATTGCCTTGGTGATGAAACCCATCATTGTTCTACCTAACACTAAATCCTTGTTCTGCTTCACTAAATACCACTTGGGCCCTTGAAGAGCCAGCTATATCCACTAGACAGAGAAATTACTTCTATGAATTAGGTGTTTTCAAATCAGCTGGGCCTCCCAAAATTCATTCCAGAGTATGAAGGGATTTCCTGTAGCAATCTGGAAGCTGAGAGAGATCTGTGAAAACTTGAGAAAACCAGGTGTACTTCCAGAAGAACTGGCAAGTGTCAAAGTAGTTCCTGTCTTTAAAACTTGGAGAGAGGAAGAAGCCAGGTATCATAGATCAGTCAGCCTAATATGAAAAAAAATATAATTAGACAACCTATTTGCAAGCACGTGAGTGATAGGTAACAGCCAGTATGAATTTGTCAGGAAGAAATCATGTCAAATTAAGCTGCTTTCATTAATTATATGGTAACAGAGCTTGTGGATATCAGGGAAACGGTGGATTTAATGCAACTTGATTTAGTATTGTCACTGACACTGTCTCCCTTCTCATCAGCACATTAGGAAAATGTGGTCTAAGTAGCAATATCAGTCTGACTGGAAAACCACTGAGTAGTTGTTCTGAAAGGGCGTTATCAAGCAGGCTATGAAGGTGTTTACCCAATAATGCTGTTCAGATATTCATTAAGTCTTGAGTGATGGAGCAGCAATCTTGCCTCCTAAATTCAAAGAAGATGCTGATCTGATGGGTGATGTAGGTGTTTTAGAAAACAGCATAAAAATACAGAATCATCTTGATGAGGTGAGAGAATAATAGATTCACTCAATGAAGGTAAGTGCAAAATTCGTTTTAAGAGTTACCGTCTGCCCAAGTGCAAGATGGGGCCAGCTGGCCACAGCAGTGACACAGAAGGAAGTCTGGGAACTGAAGTCGATTAGAAGCTGGATATAAGAGCTCTGTTACATTTCTGGGAAAAAGAAGTTATTGTAATGTCTACTCTTAGCCCCAACAGGTTAAGAACAAAAGTCTTTTCCAACAGCTTTTCTAGCTGACATATTTTACCAATTGAATTCTTTCTCTAGCTGTTTAACGAGCTTGTTCAGGAGCAAGGTCCCAATTTGGACCGGACGTCTGCCCATGTCAGTGGGATTAAGGAACTGGCCCGTCGGTTTGCCCTCACTTTTGGCTTGGATCAGATCAAGACAAGAGAGGCTGTGGCCACACTACACAAGTGAGTGGTGGTAAATAAACTGGATTTTTATATTACTTCAGATTAAAACTTTTGCTCAGCATACCTTTTCTAAAAGGGAATCTTAACAGGACTTGGAATAATGATACTTTTTTTCTACTTTATGTAGAAAAATGGTGGAGTCTGTCCATGTGCCTATGTAAGAAAGGAAGAAAAACTAGCTGCTACCTAATTATTTGCTGGAATTTATTGGAATGGCCATGTATATCTATCTCAAAGCCACTGGTATTATACATACTTGTGTGGGCTGTATCTAACAACTGTAGATCGTTCTTTTTATCACCACATGGATTCTGTAGGCACCAAGGGCTTTTGTGAAAATATATTCCAACAATATTTTGGAAATCTATTTTTTATAGTGGATCGAAGCTTTTTATATAACTGCTGTACAAGAAAGTGTAGAAAGGTACTGCTAAATTTAAATTACAACCTTCCCATGCCATATAAAGGCTTAAATATTAAAGTTCGCTATCTCGGAGGCTAAGTCATTAAGATTAAGATTAGCAAAGCATGATCAAAATGCTACCAGACGCTTTCCTGTGCCGAGCAAGAGGGAAGTCAAGACATACACGTGCCGTTACTGGGCAGTGTGAAAGTAAATTGTTTTCCTGAGTCTCAAATGATAAAGCAAAGACAAGACTTACCAATATATATTGGTAAGTACATTCTTTGTTCTGACTCTTGACACAGAAGTTTTATCTTGTTATGTCTTACATATTATTCTTATTGTGAGTTTCTGCATCAGGCAGAAACTGGGGGATTGGACTAAATGGCCCTTAAAGGTCCCTTCCAACCCAAGCATTCTGTGATTCTATGACTATTCCTGCCGAGGCACTGGCTTTCAGCACCTACCAGGTTTCTTAGATTGTAGTAAATTCCTTCTTACTACATAACTGGCAGTATGTTGTCTTCGAGACTGTGTCCTTACAAGTCAAGGGGGAACATCTGATTTCACTTTATCCAAAAGCAGCTCTTTGCTAGTAGTGAAAAAAAGTTATGATGGGATATAAAGATATAACAAATTTTATCACAGTTCAAATTTTGAGCACTTTTAAAAATTTTGTTACAAGCTTCTGAAAATTTTAATATTTCTTCACTGTAGAGATGGCATAGAGTTTGCCTTCAAGTATCAGAATCAAAAAGGACAAGACTATCCACCTCCTAACCTTGCTTTCCTTGAAGTGCTTAGTGAATTTTCTTCTAAACTCTTGCGACAGGACAAAAAGACTGTGTAAGTTAATGCTTCATTTTCTTTGGTGGGTTTTGCTGGGCTCTGTTACTCACTGTAGTGTGTATTTAAGCTCTCTGCTTTGAAGTTTTCACAATCTAATAGGAAGTCCCAAGGAGATATTTCACACACACAGTTATAGGTTTATATTTTAAAGTAATAAAGATAAATGAGAAAAGGAGAATCAAGTTCACTCATGAGGTGTGTTTGAGACCTTACAAAACAATGTTTCTTAATATTTCCTGTGGGTCACTGAAATTTAAAAGAGCCTTTTATTCAGGCTAGAAGAAAAAAAAATGTTAGCAGTGCAGGAAATCTACAGACCTGTAAACACTGCGGTAACATCTGTTACTGTTAGATATTTACATAAAATGTAACAGGTTTTTTTGTAATGTAACATATATTTTTTGTTTATTTTAGTATATTGAGTTAAACTGGGAAGTAAAGGTTTGTCAAGACTTCTGTTACTGGCATAATAGGATAGAGAAAGAGGCCGAGAGAGGTCACTGTTTTTGGTTAGGGCAGAGCAGGGTGATAGAGAGCTGGCAGGATAAAACAAGCGGCCTGGATTTGATCTGGTGAGTAATTACTGCAGCTGAAATACTGGGAATGAAATACATGTGCTGTATTGTCGATACGATCTGAATAAAGAGCAAGAAATACTGTTTTATGAGCAACATTTGAATAGTGTCGAGGGGCTGCAGGTATCGACAGAAAACTACATATCGAAAGAAAATGACGTTGTTAAGGACAAGTTCATAGTAACGACATCTCTGCTTCGCTGTGGAGATAACGCTTTACGTTTCTGATACGTTATGTAGCAAATAGCCAGGATTTGGCCACAGCAGAGAAATAATAAGGGAAAAAGGAAGAGGTAGAACTGAATTCTTTGGATAACTTTGTGACCATTTAAAAAAAAAAAAGCAATTGCCGGTTCTTCTGATTTCTGATTATAGGTACCTTTCCAGTCAATTCTCTGACCACAAAGAATTCCAGTCTGCTGTAACAATCTACTAACTATCTACTGTAACTATCTCAACTGAATTTTTATGTCAAACTTTTCTGTAGTTTTTCTGTGAAGATACTTGTTTTAAAGGGCGTTTCTATTAGCTTTGATAATTATGAATATATTAGCTTTATCTGTGTTATAAGAAATGCAGCATGGTTAACTGTGGATAATTTTTAACATACACACACTTGAACCAATTTAAGGTTTTTTTATTTTATTGATATTTTGTCAGTTCAGCAAATGCAGTAGAAGAAATAGTTAAATGAGCTTGAGAATTGGATGACCCAGTCGGGCTAGCTTTGCACGCAATTTTTGAAGCTGCTTTTCCTTGTTATAGCCTGGAATCTTGTCAGCCTCTGTCTTATTGTTCAGGACAGCACATAAGGATAATAGGATTTTATTACTGTCTTCCTAACTGAACCGTAGATTCTCCTACGTCTGTTAAAGTGCCATTAGCCTGATTCATGTTTGATTTAGTGAAGCTTATCCTTCTTGTACAGTCATCATCCCTTCCACGAGTTTCTCCAGTGTCTAAAATTTAAAGTTACATCATTTTGTGCAGTTTACATGACAGCTTATTTTGAGCTGATCCTTTGTATGGAATTCAGTACTTCAGGAGATCTTGGTCCTTCGCCTTCTATGATGCCATTTAATTTTTTTTCTCAAAGGTTCTCCCACTCATTGATGCCCACAACCATTGGCTCCTTTTACAAGGCTGTAAAGATTGCTGTGGTGGAATCCTGATTTTATCTGTCTTTATCGTAGTAATCTGTACCTGAGCTATTTACCTCAGCTGAATCTGAAGATCAGTGAAAATAGCTCCTTCAGGGCATGATTTATCTAATCTGTGCTAAATTGCTGTTTTAAGATGCGTTCAGAGATGCCGTAGATTCCATTGGCTATGGTGACCATGAAAAGAGTCCAGATAACTTGCTTATATGTCAAGATACCTGCAGTCCTTCCCTGGAGACATCTGTCCTGTTGGCACTCAGCCGGCAGCGGCTGTGTTGCCCAACGTGCTTCGCTGGCCTTGCGTGCCCACAGATGCTCTGGGTAGTTGATTTTGCCCTTCTCTGTAGCATGGCTCCTCCAGTCCTCAGGGACCTCCCCCCCTCCCTCCGAAGGGGTTGCCAGCGAGCAGGAAGGTACGTGACCACCATCTGGTGGAGAAGTCCTGTGTGCAGGGTCCTTCACCTGCCTCCCTCCCGGGCTTGATCCCCTCCTGCCAGGGGACTCCCCTGAACTCGGCAGTGGGCTGCTCTCTGGAGGCGAAAGTGCTCCGGAGTAACCCTGAAAGCCTCATGAGCATAGAGCTGCCTGTCTCCCAGAGGTCCTCCATACCTGAAAAAAATAAATTATCTACCCGCTATGTCTGCACAAGTCATCTGTCCTTGGTACAAAATACTGTTCCTGTCACAGTTCAGTGCTTTCGCAGGGCTCGAACTTCCTTTCGGGTTTACTGCTGGCTTTTGTGTTTGGGGGAAGAAAAGGGAGATGTTTGCAGTTTGGGAATGTAGCAGCAACGCTGATGTAATTCAGTTTTCCTATCCTCGCTATTTATTTGGCCTCTTGTTTTACGAGTAACCTCTGGAACTAGCGATAGCCATTTATGGATTTACTCGGATCTATGGATTTAATAGAAAACTATACATTTAAGGTGCCAGCCCCTTACACTTGGCAAAAAAAGATTTATAGAAATGCAGTTACAAATACAGAAGGCAGATACAGACAGGGAGTTCCTGAGGAATTCATCTGAGACCATAATGAAGTGAATTGCCCTGTGGAAGCATTTATTTCCATTTATTTCTCAAATAGCAACTCTTATCTTAGACCAGACAACTGAAGGTTGGGTGTCTGGAGTCAGATGAGATGGAGCCTCAGCATGGTGTTCTTACTTCTAGAAATTTAGAGTTTCTATCCTTGTTGAAGCTGGTAAGAACTGCCAGTATGAAGCTTCTCTAAAATGTTGAATTAAAGTTGCCTCGAGTTTGGCATGTAGTCAGTAAAGAACCCCCGAGTGGCGTTGTTTTTCCTTCTTCACAATTTGGGCATAACCTGTGCACTCCGGTTCTGTAAACATAAATTGGATGTAGAAAAGCTTAGTTTCCAAGACTCTTGTGCAAACAGATTCTCTCAAGTCATGAAGCATTCAAGTGTTGCGCTCTTTGGTGCTGTGAAAGGGAGAATAAACCAAGAACTTCCCATTCGGTGTAAGGTTTGGATGTTACTCAGGGTGCACATGAAAAGGGGAAGGAAGAAGCATCCACGATGCTGAATAAAAACAAAATCCCGTTAAAACTTGGGTGTAACTGTTACCCAGGCATTCACAGTGCGGCTTCTTGTCCTGTTCTGAAAGCTCGACCATGTAACAAGCTTGAGCTGGCCATGAGCTAACAGGAGAATTCTGCATTTCCACGCAGACTTTGTGGGTTTGACTCCCACTGATGACAACCTGGCAATATGGTATTAAGGGAGATCATGATCAAAGGGTGCAGGAAATGATGTTGAAGTATCCCAAGTTCTCTTACCCAACTTCTGAATTCTTGGTTCTGCGGCTTGAACCTCATTAGAATCACCTTGGTGTGGATTTGCACACTCATTTCAAGAACTGCTTCTAATACCATAGTTAAATAATCCGTAGAAAACGAAAACACCTCAGATGCCCTCCAGACTGCGTACAGGAGGGAGGTTGGTTGGTTCCTCCCGTAAGTTAACAAGCGTGTGTTGGACTTCTCGCACTACAAAGTTCCTCTAGTTTTTTATTGAAAACTAATTTCTTGCATTTGAAGAAACCATTTTTCTTGTTCCAAGATACAGCAGGATGTGGTACATCCTCACACCAGTGGTTCTAGTTCAGTCTGGAGACTGAAGTGTGTGCAGAGTAGCAAAAGATTTCGCTGTGAATGATCGCAGACAAATGTGAGAGGAAGATGTTGGGGAGAGAATGTTTTCTATATTCTTTACCTGCAAGTAACCTGTGCGTGATTATGTTACTTTGTATTGAGGGAATGGCAAGTATTCTTACATAAAATAAGAAAACACATGTGGGATTTGTGTTAAGCTCACGATATAAAGAGGAATTGAAGATTAATTAAAGAGGAAATAATGTGCTGTGCATCTGTACTCATTGTCTTTTATTTTCAGTCACACCTACTTAGAGAAGTTTCTGACAGAACAGATGATGGAAAGAAGAGAAGACGTGTGGCTTCCACTCATTTCCTATAGAAACTCTCTAGTTACGGGTGGTGAAGACGACAGAATGTCCGTCAACAGTGGTAGCAGCAGCAGCAAAGCATCTTCAGTGAGGAATAAGAAAGGACGACCACCGCTCCACAAGAAGAGAGTAGAAGGTTTGTATGGTTTTAGGTTCCCTGGTACAGGTATTTCTCATTTTGTACATACATTACAGTTTTCCTTCTTAGGAGCCCTTACAGTTTATCAATTAATGCCGAAATAAATAATATGTCAGATAATGCTGATATTCTCTGTCTGTGATACAAGCAAGACATCTGTTCTGCAAATTCTTATCAGGCTTGAACACATCTTCATAAGAAATACCATCACGAGTCCCTGTTCTTGTTTGTCCTCACTGAAATTCGCAGATTCAGAACTATGAAAAGCTGTTGGTGAAGTTGGAAACAGAAGTTTGTGGAGTTATCTGCTCTAACTTTTCTCAGTCATGGACTCCTGGTTTTCTGCCTATGCTTCAGTCAGGAGCTGTTGTTAATTAACAGCGAGTTAGAACAAACCCAAGGCAGAAATTCTGATACAGATCTGTATTTTTGCAGGACCACTGGAGAACATTCAAAAGACACCTTTTTTGTTTAAAATGGTATTGATATCCCATGTCTATGTTTATTCGTTCGGTGACTTCAGGCACATTTATCAGGAAATTGGCTCTGATAGCCAATTTCTCACAATATGGCATTTGTTCCTAGCTAATCTGTTTGATGTAGTGTGTACTTTTGTGAATATAAATGTACTGTTTCACTACAGAGTAGGTGTAAGTGGGCTCTTTAAACGTAAGGGATTTTTCCAAGGTCACTATCTGTGATAGGAACTTCACTGTAAGGAATCTAATGCCAGTATGCCTGAATATACAGCAGTTTCCCAAAATATTTCCCAAAATCTTGTCCATATGCACTTCTACAAACAGATCCATTCTCCACCACAGCTTATGTTAATCAGTATGTGCACCAACTCCTTTGGTTTCTTACAGCCAGTCTAGCATTTAGCTGGGTGAAATACTGCTTCCTGTCTATGGACACTGTTTCACTTCCTTCAGAAAGTGAATTCAACTGAGTTTTTTTCCTTTCCTCTTGTTCCTATTTTCATTCTATTTTCTTGTATCCTACCAACATCTTCTTTTTGTCCTCTGGGAAGTAATCCCTTTGCTTCTCTGTAAGAAAAGTCTCAGCCTTGGGCTGTAGCTTTTGGACCTTGTTTGCCTCATGCTCTTCCATGCCCTTTCTTCTTCAATGGTCACTATAAGGGGCAACTGATTTGGAACTCTTTCCATTTGCATAAGGCTTTTTCTTTGCAACAGCTGTGCCCTGAATCTTCCACAAACGTAACTCACTTGAAATGATGTAGGCCAAATCCATGGTGCTTCATCTGGCTGTGCATCAGTTTCCACGGGGAGGTCATCCAGCGGCAGTGCAGGCTGTGCCAAGACTCACTCACAGGAGCAAGTGAGTCTGACAGGATCTACAGAGGGTTTGAGGGGCTGTTTACGCTCTACCAACATCATGTCCTCAGAAGACACCCAGGATTTATCTTACCTGAGATCTAATGTCACTGTGGCCAGAAAAAGGCTGGTGATCACTGCCTTTCATGGGTGCTCTTCTAGGTGGGGTGCGGGCATGTCCTCTGAATTCTACACGTACAGCTCTGGGCCACACATTTTGAAGAGCACTGTTTGAGAAGTGACTCCCTTCTCCTTTCTTCTTTAAATTTCTAGATCACTACAGACCTTCATTACTCATGAAAACTTTCCTGTACAGCCAGGAGGTAGGGCCAGGAGGGATGTTTTAGCCTGTAACAGCATAACTGTCTTTTCCATGATAGATGCCTTTGTTGTAGAATTTGACTGCCTGGTAAATGATAGAATTGAAAAGTTACCAGCAAATGCTCTTTTGTGACAGCAGCGACACAAGCTCTATGGCCTTTCCTTCCATCGAAGGATTGGCAGTGCAAGCCCTGAGAGTCTTTTTTTAGATACGTACTGATAGAGGACATTTGATAGCAGATGTTAAAAAAACTCCACGTAATATAAGCAGTTAGATAAACACTATGTACTTGGCGTTTGGATGGTTCTTGATATGCAGTAGGCATTACTGACTGTTATGTCCTAAGCAGACTTCCGTTTGAATCCTGGAAAAAGGACAGCCAAGAAAACCTGCAGAGAGGTTGTCTGCATTTTTCATGGAAAGACATAGATTTCTGTACAATTAAGGTCTTATTTTTTATGTACCAATAATGAGCTCATGAAATAATCAGAGATTTGATCCCCAGAAATAAGTACTTACTGTTCACTTATCTGTATAACAAGTTATGAAGAACCAGTCACAGAATCACAGAATGTCAGGGGTTGGAAGGGACCTCAAAAGATCATCTAGTCCAGCCCCCCTGCCAGAGCAGGATCCCCTACAGTAGGTCACACAGGAACGCGTCCAGGTGGGTTTTGAATGTCTCCAGAGAAGGAGACTCCACAACCTCCCTGGGCAGCCTGTGCCAGGGCTCTATCACCCTCACAGAGAAAAAGTTTTTCATATTATTTTTGTGGAACCTTCTATGTACCAGCTTGTATCTATTGTCCCTTGTCCTGTCATTGGACATCAGTGAAAA